TCTTATTTTGTATTTAAGTTTAAAATAAATTTTAAAACTAAAAAAATTTGTGATCTCTCCTTTTCCTTTTATTTCTGTTAAAATCCAACTCCTGAAAAGGTCAGTCTCGAAAGGCTTGTCTCAATGATTGCTCTTAGCCTTCCAGGCACATGCTGGTTAACTAGGTTGGGACCCACCTTACTGGGATATGAAATTTCTGCTTTGAATAGAAGCAGAATCCAGTTTGGGCCAGCCTTTGCCTGGGGTAAGAATCCCCTGTCCTTGATCCTTTTCTTTAGAGTTTAGGGCAACCCAGCTCTTGAAGGAAAAAACTAGCTAGAGAGATCTGCATGGAAATGGTTTCCCCTTCACAGATGCCCACCTCCTCCTTAATGTCAACCAATCACTTGTCACATCCCTTTCAGATGGGATTTAAGGCCTTTTAGGGTCTCCCTTGGTGTCTTTGGTTACTGAGAGAAACCCCTGACCATCAATTAAATTAATAAATTGATTATTAATTACCCAAAAACTGTCTCTCAGGCTTATCATTCATCACAATATATTTATACAACCTATGCCAAGTGGGCTTAGTACAATTCTTGGAATTTACAAACACCAGCAGAAATACCAACTGCTAATAATGTTCATACTAAATGAAACTTAACTGACTGCTAAACTATGCAACTCTTGGTGCCAATCTATTTATAAAGGAAATACTCTGGAAACAGAATTTTCTCACAAATAGTGGACATGCAGGTATAATTATTAGGTGTTCAACAACAATCCTCCATTAAATAAGGACTATATGGATTTATTTAGGAGTAACAGAGTAAAAAAAGTATATAGTTTAGGAAAGGGTTAAGTGACTTTGACCACTGAGAAGCATAAAAATTCTAGCAAATATGGTTTGGATGTGGACCCAACCCTGACATATCCCTATGTGCCCTTTCTCCTTGGGCTAGTTTGTTTACCCTATCTGGACCTTAGTATCACCAGAAGGCTAGTGGCCCAGGCCACTTGGCTGTAATTCAAACTCTGTCTTAGGGTCCTCGAGGAAGTACAGTTGTGTGTGGTTGGGGGTGGGGGTACACTCTTACAACTCTCTAGATGGTAGGCCTTACATTACAGTTTGTAACCTGTGTCACCTCCTGGGCAAAACTGCTTCTCTGCTCTGATTCCCATCTAGTTCTCAGAGCTGATCTTCTGCTACTCGTGGATTGCTGAAACAGTGACACCCGTCTTTCATAGCCACTTTTGGCAGCATGCTCAGAAAGAGTTTGTTTCTTTCAGTAACAAATAGTTCCCTTAAGCCAGTGGTCTGCTCTTAGCCTCAAATGAGTTTCTCCCTCTAAGGCCATATAGACTTTCTCTAGCTAGCTCTTAAAATAACAGGATTCTGCTATGTCTAATCAGTTTTCAAAGAAGTCAGACCTCTTTTCACAGCAAAGCAAATCCAAAGCTTGTTTTTTCCTCTCAAAGTAGAGAAAGTAGCAGACGGAAATCCAAGGACTTCTGAGAGATTTCCTTTCTCTCAGGCCATAGATGGTACTACAGTGCAGTTAGTCCAGCTGACTTCACGCCTCACAGGATTCATCTTTCTCACAGTAAGCCAGTCAGTTCTAAGCAAAGCTGTACCTATCTTCCAATCAGCGTGGCTTCCAGGAAAACAGCTGCGAAGCTTTCCTGTCAGCTCTGTTCCTTACAGCTTCTAATTTCTGTCCTCTGTAAGTAAGCACCTCTTCTGGTGGCCTCCTCTGCCTTCTGTCCCCAACTCCTCCTTATGCTTGAATTTTCCCTTTTCTTCCCCCTGTACTACTACTTTTCTGCTTGCTTCTACCTATATAGTTTCTGCTTTGGCTTCTAATGCCTTCCTCACGAGCAGTAATTCATCTGTAGTTTTATGATGTGAAACTCAGCAGTGCTGACTTTTTGTCAGGTGTGGCTTAACAGTGCTTAAAAATTCACATAATCTCCAAATATTTGCTAGATTTACAGTTTCTTGGTTGTAACTTTCAAAACTTTGGAAACAGTCACATGAAAATGATGGGACTAGAAACCATAGTTACCTTGGTTATTTCTTTGCCTTCAGACAAGTCCTTTCAGTGCATTCATCAGGACAGTTCTTTATCTGATCCTTAGAGCAATATGTGTCTTTGCACATTTTATTTGAGAGGCTGTATCTTCTCAAGTTGATTTGCAGTTTTTTTTTTAAAAACAAATGTTCTTTTTCTGCCCTTTCAGCAACCAAAATGTCAACATATGAAGCAGTCCCTTTCAGAGGCATTAAGAAAATTTCATTGCAAAAGATACATTTCAGATGTCTGTTGATTACCCAGTAAGCATGGGTAGGATTTTAGCTGAAGCTTGAAGAAAGTTAAGGAAACCAGAAGGTGGAGATGAGGAGGGGGAGCATTCCAGGAATGGGGGACAACCAGTGAAAATGGCTAGGTGAGAGATGGAGTGTTTTGTTTGAGAAACAAGGAGACCAGTGTCACAGGATAAAAGAGTATGTTTTGGTGTTTAAGGTGTTAGAAGACTGGAAAGGTGATGCTGAGAGGGTGCAGTTTATGAAGGGCTTTGAAAACCAAACATGGGATTTTATATTTAATCTTAGAGTTGACAGCAAATCACTGAAATTTATTGAATGGGGGAATGGGACAGTGGTCACATGGTCAGATCTGGGCTTTAGGAAGATCGCTTTGACAGCTAAGGGGAGGGTGGACTTACAGTGTGGAGAGACTTGTGGCAGGCACAACTGGCAGGCTGTGGTCCAGATAAGAGGTGATGAGGACATGTACCAGTGGAGTGTTACTCCCATATCCTCTGTTAAATGAGGACCCATAAGGCATCTATCTTATTTCTCACTGGCTGTATTCCTCTGGACTTCATCATGTTCCTTGGAACCTCATCATCCTGCAAGATCACAACAGCCCAGAAGCTCGTATCTTATCAGTACTCCCTACTTCTTGGCCCTGCCCATCCCCTGGAGAAGATAGATGGTGAATGGTGAATGGTGGGTAGTGGAGAGCTCTCAGCTCCTCCATTTAAAGAGGGCAGTCATTTCTTCATTTCTTCCCATTAGATCATGAGCTCCTTGAGGGTCAGGTTGCTGTTTTGCCTTTTTTTTTTTTGTATCCTAGCACTTAACACAGTGCCTGGCACATAGTAGGCATTTAATAAATGTTTGTTGATTGACAGCATGGGTGGTGGCACTGTCAGGATAGAAGGGGTCAAATGTGAGAGAGCTTATGAAAATAAAATCGACAGGTCTTGGCAATGAATAGGATATGGGGAGGGGGATGAGAGAGAGTGAAGAGTTGAGGATGACACCTAGGTTGTAGGCCTGGGAGGATAGTAGTATCCTTGACAATAATAGGGAAGGAAGAGAGGATGGTTTGGGGGTAGGGGAAAACAGTGAATTAGTTTTGAAAATGATGATTTTAAGACATCTACATGACATCCAACTTGAAATGTCCAGTAGGTAACAGAGATGCAAGACTGGAGGTCAAGAGAGATAGTAATTAGATAAGTATTTAGATAAGATATTAGATTTAGATAAGTTGTTAAGTAAATCTGAGAATCGTTCAACATAGAGGTCATAATTGAATCGGGAGCTGATGAGATCACCAACTGAAATAGCATAGAGGGAGAAGAGAAGAGGGCCCACTTTTAACCCATGTGAACTGGATGAAGATCTAGCAGAGGAGACTTGAGTAATCAGATGGGTAGGAGAACCAGGAGAGAGCAGTGTCACAAAAACCTAGAGAGAAGACAGTATGAAGGAGAACAGGGTGATCACAGTGTGAAAGGGTGCAAGTCTCACCATGTTATCCCCCCCCCCCAGTACTCCAATGACTCCCTAACACCTCCAGGATCAAATACAGAATCTTGTGGCTATCCTGTGTGTATGTGTATATCTGGTTTGTACATTGTTGCTTGCATGTCATCTTTCTCATTAGTCTGTGAGTTCCTGTGAGGGCAGGGACTGTCCTTTGTCTTTCTTTTTATTCCCAGTTCTTAGCCTGGTGCTTGTCACAGAACAGGCACTTAATAAAATGCTCACTGACAGTTACACAGAGGTAATCTATTTGAAGCCCTTCCATCCATGGCCATTTTTGTATATGTAGCAGCTTAGAAATAAAGAGAATAAATAGTAACTTCGTAAGAGTTAACAAAGATGAAAAAAATAAAGGTAATATTAGTTGACCTCTAGGTAAGTGCTAGACCAGGAAAGTTCTGCTTAACTAGTAGTGGGCAGATCTTTAGTGTGACCTCAGAGCATTTGCCAGTAAAAACTGACTGCTTCATTAAGCCAAAAAAAGGGAAGGGCAATGAAAGCAAATAAACTGTGAACAATGGAGACATTTACATTCCAGGTCCAGCTTGTTAGACATCATAAAGTAGACTGTGCTGGTCCCTCAGGGACAATTTGGAGCCGAATCCATGTGAGGGAGGGAGGGAGGGGTGTGTGTGTGTGTGTGTGTGTGTGTGTGTGTGTGTGTGTGTGTGTGTGTGTGTGTGAGAGAGAGAGAGAGAGAGAGAGAGAGAGAGAGAGACCTTCAGTACACATTTTCAAGTATCAGTGATAATTAGTGCTCGTTCTAGAGGAAAGACAAAATAACTTTTATTTCTCCTTTTACCTATCTACTGCAGCATTCTGTTGCTTTTCTGTATTTAATTCAATAAGTTTTTACTACATGTCTTCTATTGCAAAGCACTTGGGATACAAAGATGAAAAACCATAGTCTCTGGGCTCAAGGAGATCGCAGTCCATTGTGGAAGGTATGATGTATGGACAAGTAAATGTAATAGCAGGCAGTGTTATAAAGGTGAAAGAAATATCCGCATGAAATATGAAAAGATTTAAGTTCTTACTTATCTCTTCTTAGAGATACTTTATGTGCACATCTGAGAGTATTTTTTAGAAATTTGTACTTTGAGCTTTTGATATTTTTCATGGGTACCACGTGTTGTTTTTCCCTTCTCATTGATTATGATGTGATTGCTTTTTCTTTTGATAGGTTTTCAGCAGACCTCGCATCTGTCTTCCTATGAAATTATAACACCCTGGAGATTAGTTAGAGAAAGGAGAGAGGCCCCTAGGCCCTATTCAGCACAGGTAGGTTGCCTTTTAAAAAATTTTATTTTATCTCAGTTTTTAAAAAATTGTTAACACTTTGTATCATTATGTCACAGTCATTTCTGGGGCTAAAAAACAAACCCTTCTCTGCCCCCTCTCCATATTTAACCTTCCATTGGTGATAGTTGTTGTCTTTGTCTATTTTTAAACTATTTATCCTTTTCCCATTTTCCACCTTTGAATCAGTTAAGTTAGAGTTTTAGTATTTTTCTTACATTTATCTTTTTAATTTGGTATTGGTTCTGGTCTTTGCTTGAACAAGTCAATGATCTTACCTGTACACAGGCAAATGATTCTAAAAGGATTAAGTCAGCAAGCCTTTATTTAGCACTGACTGTGTGATGGTTTATGTTTTAAGCTATGGGTGTACAAATTCAAAAGTGAAACAGTCTTTGACCTCACAGAGCTTAAATTCTAGCATAGGATGCAACATATGTATATACATAAGAGAGAGAGAGAGAGAGAGAGAGAGAGAGAGAGAGAGAGAGAGAGAGAGAGAGAGAGAGAGAGTGTGTGTGTGTCTGTGTCTCTGTGTTAGATGCATACGAAATGAATACGGAGTAGTTTTGGGAGGAAGGGAAACAGAAGCTGGAGAAGGCTTCATGTGGAACATGACACTTGAGCTGAGTTTTGATTCTAAGAGTTGGAATTGAGGAGGAAGTACATTCCAGATCTGTGGGACAGACAGTGGAAAAGGCGTGGAATCCGTACATATACTATGTGTGTGTGTGTGTGTGTGTGTGTGTGTGTGTGTGTGTGTGTGTGTGTGTGTGTGTGTGTGTGTGTGTATATATATATATATATATATATATATATATATATGTATGGAAAAGCTAGTAGATCAGTATTACTGGGATGGGAGAATTCATGTAGGAACATAATATATAAGAAGACTGGAAAGGTAGGAAAGGGCCAGATTGTGAAGGACTTTAAATTCCAAACAGAATAGTTTCTGTTTGATTCTAGAGGTATTAGGGAGCCATTAGATTTTGTCTAGTAATAAGGCAACATGGCCAGACCTGTGTACTTTAGGTAAGTCACTTTGGAAGCTTTGTGGTGGAGGAATTGGAGTGCTTTCTTGTCTACTGTAGTTTAATATTTTTTTGTGGTGTTTTTCAGTACCTGCCTGATCCATCCAGCACCTTCCCCAGTCTTTAAGAAAGTATTTATGATACATTGTGTTAGCCTTTTTGTGTAGGCTACAGATCTTAAGTCATTTTAATTTCTTAACCCTGAGCAGTATTTTTAGTATTTGGGGGAAGTAGGGAGTAGGAGGGGGGAATTTTAACTTTTTATTGAGTAGGAGAGGGATACAGTTAGACTTGTCCTTCTTGATTCTAGTAAAGTCCATTTTCCCCCCATATGATTGTGCTCAGATTTGCAGTTATTCTTTGCTTTATTGGAATGTCATTCCACTCTGTTTATAACATTAACATATCCATGCAATTTTCTTGTGATTATATTTTAATTCTACTATCTACTATAATACATCCTTGGCTTTTTGTTTGGTCGTTGCTTTTAAGGAGTCCAGTCATTATTGCATTATTTCTCTTTGGCTTTTTTTCAGTCTTTTTGACAATAGATACCTTATATTTTCTTCTATTTTTTCCCCCTAATCTTTTGACATTTTTATTGCTTGTTGTCTCATGAAATCATTGAGTTCAGATTGCTCCATCCCTGTTTCAGGGAGTTTGATACTTGGGGTTGATGCTTGTATATGTATCATGTATATTGTATATGTGTATGTTTTTTACACCTTCTGTTCTAAGCTGTTTAACTTTTCAGTTTTTCTCCTCTGAACCCTTATTTCATTTCTAATTTCACTTTTCATGCATGTCTCATTTCATTTCTTCCACACTATTGTAGTCCTTTTATGTAGCCAAGCCATTTTTCCCCTCTCTCAGGCTCTGCTTGTAGTTGTTGGAGGGTTGTTTTCTTCTTCTAGGTTTTACCTCTTGAATTTTTTTCATCCAACAGTCACCATTTGAATGCCAGAGAGCATTTTGGTCTTATTCCTCTATCACAGTTCTCCTTGCTGTGGTTCTTAACTCAGAGCTGACCCTGTCTCTTGCTGAAGCTATCAGTTCTCTGAGGGGTTCATGTCCAGGCCTTATTCTTTTTCCCTTTGTAATGACATGTAGTTTGTGATTGGGAAATGGCTTCAAGTCCATGATTACAGGAGCTCATAATAGCTTGTAATAGCCCCCTGAACACTGGATGGAAGGTTTAAGGTTTGTTTGTAGAAACTTGAGCTGGCTTTCCTGACCTCTCTCGTCTCCCCACCCGCTTTTGACAATGGGATCATTTCCTGTGCTTATGGTGGTTTCCCTGGTGTCTCTCTCTTCCTGGCTTTTGGTTGGTTTACCTGTGATCACATTGGCTTCTCTGGCACAAACTCTCTTCTTGCCTCAGTGGCTTGTGCATTTATCTGTTCTTTTTCTGATTTCCCTCCTGAAACCTCTACTTTGGACTTCTGGTTATCTTTATGACCTGTTCTAGGCTAGATGAAAACTCTTCTGATTCTTTTGGTTTCCTTTACCATTGGTCTTTTGGGGGTAATTTTCTGAAATTTCTGAGCAATGTTCTCTAACATACTTTTGGTAGCCTCCCTTATAAATTGATTTAATTTATAAGTTCTTACAGAATTCTTTACAGAGTTTCTCTCCATCTTCTACAATACATTTGGCTTATAAACTGCAGTTATCTTCATGGTGATCTTTTCACAGTCTTTATGAGTAATATAGTTCAATAAGATCAAGTGCCATTAAGTGTGTTTAATAAATGTTTTTTGATTACATGATGACTGTGATCCTCAACACCCTCTGTTCCCTTTTTTCCTGTTCTGCCACCATCTTTTCAGGCACAGAAGGGGCTGCACAAGACTAAGGATTATTTTTTTTTTTCCCATCAGTTTTTGTGGACAGCCAAATGATGTTAAACTCTTTGTCCTTATTTAGACTGGGTCTCTGAAGTTGATTGTCTACCATAGGGACTACATTTAAATCCTTTTCAGTAAGGTGGCATCTGCCAGACGTTGTCCTCCATTGACTTAACCTTTAATAACCCAGGGTTGCCCATATATCACGCTTAAGCTTTGGAATAATAGACTTCTTGTGGCCAATGTTCATGTGGCTTGGTAAATGGTAAGAGCTGGGATTGGAATCCAGGTGTTCTGATCGAACATCCCATGTTCTTTCTACTATACTACAGTACTTCTTGTTAAGGAGAGATAGAGTACATCCATAAAATTCTATATGCAAATGCTCTTTTTTCATGCTATAGATACATTTGGTGACAATATCAGAAGCAAAGTAGGAGCTGTATTCATCATTGTTCTAATGTGGGATATAATTTTTGTGTTTTGTTGACATCAATAATCAACTGAAAAGCAATTGTGACTTATTGTTTCTTTTTTTCCTTTTAGGACCAGGTGTCTTATGTCATTCAGGCTGAAGGAAGGAAACATGTTGTTCACCTGGAAAGAAATAAGTAAGAGATATTATCTAGTGGCTTTTTGTCAGTACTTTTTGAGGCTTTAGATTTTCTTTCTAATTAGTTTTTGCTTTAGTTAATTGGTAAATAAAACAAATAGGAATAGCAACAATGCTTCAGCTGTTAAGAAGTTATGAGGGAAAAGATAAACTGTTCATCAGTTTTTTTGAAAGTTGAATAAGAAAATGGGTTTCAATTACAGGAAGAGGTTACAAGTTAGATACAAGGGAAAACTTTCAGACAAGCTGATCCTGGGTAATACTGTGAAGGCAGTTAAGTTATTTTCATTGCCCTTCTTGCTTTCCTTTCTTGGACTCTACTTTCTTTGGCATCTCTTCTCTAACCTAATCCCCAGTGTTTTTATGTGTTTCCCTGACTTGTCAGAGCATCTCACTGTAGCACCCCACAAGCTTCTTCCCTGAACAGTCTTCATGTTCCAAGTCACTCTCTCCCCGTTAAAATTCCTGTTCCATTAGTGAGCATATCTCAGGAAAAAAGTGTAAATAATTTACATTAAGATATTAATGTAACTGGTAGAGATTAATTTGACATTTTAGAATTCTGCAATATTATAATCCACATCAAACTCTAGTACCTCTTGTTATAGGTTATCTTACAGACTTAAAAAATATGGTATCTGAAAAGCAATTGTGACTTCTTTTCTCCCTCCCTTCTCTTTCCTTCTTCCTTATTTTCAGACATAACCTCCCTTTCAGCTCTTTCTTCCCCTAATTTAGTAAACAATAAAAAGAGCCCCCTCTTACAAACATTTATACTCAAAACAGGTTTTTAAAAAGTCTCAATTTGTACTCTGAGTCTGCCACTTCTCTAGCAGGAGGTGAATAGCGTCTTTCATTGTGAGTCCTTTTATAATTATGTGGAATAGAGTTCTGAGTCTTTCAAAGTTTGCTTGTCTTAACAATTATTGTATAAATTGCTCTTCTTGATTCTGCTCGTCTTCCTCTGCATCGGTTCATACAAGTTTTCTCAAGTTTCGTACTGTAACTTATCTAGCCATTTCCTAATTGGATTTTCCATTAGTTTCCAGTTTTTTTAGTTGCTTTTGTGAGTACCACAAAAAAGATCTACCATAAATATTTTTGTATATATGGGTCTTTTCCCTCTTTCTTTGACCTCTTTGAGGTATAGAAAGGATATGAATAGTTTAATAAATTTTTGGATGTAGTTCTGTATTGCTTTCTAGAAGGGCTGAGCCAATTCACAACTCTACCAACAGTGCATTAAAGTACTTGTTTTTTCATTGTCCCTTCAGCATTTGTCACTTTCTTTTTTTTTCTTCAACTTTTCTCAATCTGATTGAGTATGAAGTGGTACCTCAGAATCGTCCTTTGACTCTTTGAAAGTTGGGGAATGACTCTTATTCTTATAAATTGGAACCAGTTCCCTACCTGTCTTAGAAATGAGCTTTCTGTCAGAGGAACTTGCTGAAAAGATTTTTTTCCCCCTCCAGTTACCTACTTCTGATTTTAGCAGCATTGATTTTATTTTTTATTTTTTTAATTTACTTTATTTTTATTTTATTTATTCAAAATCTTTTTTGTTTTATATAATCAGAATTGTCCATATTACCCTCTGGGATCCCTTTCTGTCTCTTATTTGGTTATGAACTCTTCCCTCATCCATAGATCTGACAAAATAGTTTCTTCCTTGTTCTTCTAATTTGTTTATGATGTCACCCTTTATGGCTGAATCATGTTCTTATTTGAAACTTATCTAGATAGGTATGTAGTGTGAGATGTCGGCCCATACCTATGTTCCGTCAGGAAACTTTTAATTTTAGATGGTACCTAATGTTTAGCTCACATTTTTGTATCACTTTCCTCACAACAGAGAAGTAGTGTGTTATGTCATGATGAATAGAGTCCTAGACTTGGATTCAGTTCTTAGGGGAGTCCTGGCTTCAGATCCCATTGCTGAGGCAAGATATGTGAACATGGGGAAGTCGCTTAACTTTTCTGACTTTAGGCAGCAATTTAAGATTGGGGCTCTACAAGTTTTATCCCTGTTGGCCCTCTGCCTGTTTTTTTTTTTAATTGTTGTTGTTGTTGTTGTTGTTTTTGTAATTGGGGTTAAATGACTTGCCCAGGATCACACAGCTAGTAAGTGTCAAGTGTTTGGTCTGAGGCCGGATTTGAACTCAGGCCCTCCTGACTTTAGGGCTGGTGCTCCATCCACTGTGCCCTCTGCCTGTTTTTGTAAAGGCTTGCAGGCTAAGAATGCCTTAAATCCAATTGTTTCTCAAGACAGGTGGTATGTGAATGTTCAATATGAAAGAAAATGGATGAAATCCTGAAGGGGGATTTTACCTCTTTCCCTGGACATTTTGAATATTCTTTTAGATCCCTGTCTGAGGAGGACAGTGATTCTTATTTAAGTAATCATTCCGAAGAAATAGGCTAAACTCATTAAGTCAGTGATGTTTTCTACCCCATTTCTCTCAGCAAAAATTTAATGACCATAGCAGATAAACAGTGAACTTAACATACTGTTTTTGTCTTTTATCACTATTTTGATCCTAATTCTGTTCCTGCATGTTGGTGGTTTTGCAGTGGTATATCCTGTATTTCAATAATATCTTCATAAAGTGAATTTTAATTCCTTTAATGTCTCAAGTCCTGAAATAAAGCAAACTAATAAGCAGAGGAATAAAGTGTCTTTAATCAAGACAACAGGGTTGCAAGCCTGCAGCCTCCCCAAACTTAAGAAAAAGGTTTTTATGCTTTGAGAAGGAAAAGGGAAGGTGGTAGCAAGGTCTAGTCATGAGACAACACCACCCTTGGCAATCTACCTCTCTAGCACTTTATTCTGGGTTTTTCTTCCCCCTTCAAGATCTAACTCTCCATAAATCCCATTGAACTACACAAGGACATTAGAAGCCACTTAGCAGCTGATCTTGCTCAGTCTGGCTTTGTTTACGGGTTAAGATCCCTGGGTGGGGACTTTGACCTAATTGGGAGTAAAGGCTCCAAGAACAGGAATGCAAGGATATCACTAGAATTCTGACATTACTAGTATTGGTCAGAGGGAGGGGCTTTCTTACTGTCAGTGTGGCCTTGTGACCAGAGAGGATAATATTAGATTCGATATTAACAACATTCCTGTCAAATGTTACCTATTTCCTGGTGTTAGACCAGCTTTTCTAGAGTGACTGAGCCCTTTTATGCATGTAGAAAAAGAGCATGATAAATGAAATATGTTTTATTTATCTTTTAGGGGACTGTTGCCCGAAGATTTTGTAGTTTATACTTACAGTGAGGAGGGGTCTCTGCTCTTGGACCATCCTGATATGGAGGTAATTTTTTTTCTTTTGCTCTTGGCAGAAGACTTGTAACAACTGTATTTTTCAAATATCTTTGTTCAAGCATTTAGTGGTTCATTTTTTATTTAAAAAAAAACAGAAAAATATTCTTGGGTAATAAGGTTTCATTCTGCTTATCAAAGGAAAAACAGTCCCTGGTCAGTATTGTATACATTGAAGAAAAGTAGCTGAACCTTAAGTTTGTACATTTGTAAGTAAATTTTCTACAATTCTAGTTGAGGTCTTTAATTTATATTATACTTGAAGTGTGATAACTTGGGAAGTAGCTCTTCTTCCATATTAAGCCACTGACATTTTACTAATAAGCATTTGTTTGCTGCTCTGTATTCTAACAATCTCATTGCTCACTGAAAACAGTGACTAAAGAGGTGTGGTTCTTTCTGCAAGGGAATCTCTCCTGGGGACAGAGCTGGCCTGGACAATAGCAATTAATTATCATCTGTTGAATTTGGCTCTCTGTGATGTTTAGCTGTAGCGCAAGCAGTTCTACTTTTTTGTCTAAGCTAATCAGAGTATTTTCCTATTGTCCTATTTAGCAGTTAAATGTCACCCTATTCCTTTTATTAAAATATGTATAAATTAATTCCATATTTATTGTATAAATTCAAGGTCATAGTCTTGAGAAATATTTCCTAGAACATTTACTTGTTATATTGAAAATGTATTTTATCCTTCTGGGGTTTTTAAAAAATATATATAAATTAATCCTGTATCTGTGATATAAATTAAGGGTCATTGTCTTGAGGAATATTTCCTAAAACATTTACTTGTTATATTGAAAATGTATTTTATTCTGCTTGGGTTTTTTGTGCTTTGAGAGATCTACTTTTCTTTATTTGCAGTCCTACATTATGAAACAGTGGGCAGGAAAATCTACTAGGTTTAGTTATTTTTTTGACAAATGAAAGAGCAGATACTTTGTTTTTTTCCTCCTAGAAATAATTGTGCATTGATGTCATGGACCAAATGTCTTCTCCCTCTATGATAATTTTGGAAAACACCAGAGGCACCAGAAGCCTTGTGGTGAAGGAAGAAAAGCTTGAGTCTGGAGATCTGGATTGGAGGATAAATTCTGTTATTTGAAATTGAATTCAGCAAATATTGCTTACTCCCTTTGTGACTTTGAATCTTATTTTCTTCCCCTGTGAAATGAAAAGGTTGGGTTATATCAGAGGTGTCTTAGAGCAGAACTCGCCAGTACTGCCCAATCCAAGATGTTATTGGGAAGTGTTTAGCAAAATATGTAAAAATACACTACAGACTGGATAATGTGAATCCAGTTCTATTGGAGTTTAACGTACTGGATTAGATGAACACTAAGGGTTCATTCCAACTCTAAATCTTATCATCCTTTGAATGCAGTTTGTAGACAGGAAATGAAGTAGAAAATGTATGCATTTTACTATTTTTTTCAAGCAGTGAACTGTAAGGTTCCTTTTTGAGTGTTTTTAAGGGAAGCTGAAAACAGACTTCTCATAATTTTATGCTATCCATATGGAGGTTTCTTGTGATCAAGTTTTATTTGAAGATGTATTTTAAATAGCATCAATAGAACTTGTGTAGCTGTGAACTTACAAAATATTATTGTAGAGTTTCATCTCTTCCTGTTAGCTCCTAAAAAGACAAACTAACGTGGGAGGGTGTTTTTGTTTGTTTGCCAGTTGAAAGATTACCCCTCATTCTCTAAGCAGATTAAAGCTGTGTTGAATTTGATATATTTTCTATCTTGTCATTGTTCTTTAATTTGTGATATTAGCTGGTAGCAAATTATGTCCAAAATAAATTTGTCACCTACTGAGAACTAGAAAAATAGAAAAATCAAGTTTTAAATCACCACAGAGTAAACATTTGTTAAATGATGAAATAATGCCCATATTTAATGCATAAATAACTGTATTAAAGGTATTTTTGGAGGTGAATAGAGCTTCTAAGCTACTAAAGAGGCCAGATTTAGTAAATGGTAATGGGTTTGAATTGTCACTGTCTGTTGACCAGTTTTAAGGAAAGGAACCATTACATTTAGAAAGACAGTTCAGTTCATAAGTAAAACAAATTGGCCAACATGAGAAAACAACAGTATACATCTTTAACAACAGTAATGATGCTTTAGTTAACTGTTTTCTTGGCTTCAGTCTTGTGTACTAGAAGACAGTTGACTGCTCTTGCTCCCTGTAGTATCTGTGTTTTGAAAACATTTTAAAATTGATCCTGCGATTTCATTGGCATAAGAAACTCTTGAAGAAGGAAGCTCCTTGTACCATGCACGTCAACATCTGTGCTGCTTACTGTCTTGGAGAATTGTCTGGGGCATTGAAAGATGAAGTCACATAGTCACACTCAGGCAGTGTGCATAAAAGTGTTGAACCTTGGTGTTCCTGGTCTTCTTTGACTAATCCCTTGGATATTTTGAAATGTTAAACTACACGTAATGCTGCCTTGTTTATTTCTAGGTTGGAATGTCATCAGGGCGGAACTGTTTGTTCTTAGCATCCTCTGGGCCCTTCTGCCTAAGCATTTGTGTACTTATATTATGGGAATGGAGAAACGGTATCTTAAAATTCCATTCTTAAGCCCTTATATGTAATGTAAGTTACAAAGAGTTCTTGATAGTATATAGAGCTTAATTTCAGTGGTGACTTTTAGCAATAAGATTATGATACAGATAATTGTTTCTCTCATTTAGGATCATTGCCATTATCGGGGCTATGTGGAAGGTGTCCCAAATTCATCTGTTGCACTTAGCATTTGTTTTGGGCTCAGGTAAAGCAATTTATTAAATCTGCTTTGTATTTGAACATTTTTAAAAATCTCACCTCCAATTTCTTTTCCTTTTTGCTGTCATTTTATCTCTATGAAACTTTGGAAAATTCCAGGTATAACTGTTAGGGGTTTTGACTATGTAATTTGAATGTGCATTGCTTTTCTCCAGTAGTTTTATATATTATTGTGAGATGTTGTGTAGTGTGTAATGGAAAGGACTCTAGGCTTCGAGTCAGAAGGTTGAGATTCTTATCTTAGCTCTGTCACTAAGGCATGTGTTTCAGCTTCCATTTCCTTATTTGTAAAGTAAAGTGGTTAGTTTAAACAGTCTCCAAAGCCCCTTTTATATTTAGTATTCTGTGATTAATATAAGCTTTTTTAGTTTTTAAGAATTTGAGCTTTTTCTATTTAAGTGAATTTTGCAATTCACTAATTTTGAAATGATTAAATTTTTAGGGGATTGCTACATTTGGAGAGTACCAGCTATGGGATTGAACCTCTAAAATCTAGTTCTCATTTTGAGCACCTCATTTATCGACTGGACAATGTTCAGCAAGAACCTCTGGCTTGTGGAGTAACTACTAAAAACTTGAAGAAAGAAACCACAGAAAATGAAGAGAAAAAGGAATTACAGAAACAATCTTTTAGTATGACCCAGCTGTTGAGGGTAAGGAAACTCCCTTGTGCCCTCTAGTGTTCAGTTTTAAAAAAGGTGTTCTTAACATGGGTTTGTAAATTTGTATGCAAAAAAAAGGTATATCTTTTGTTTCACCAACCTCCAACTGAAATTTGGCATTACCTTCAGTAATGAATTTTTAAAAGCCACATGATTCTGGAAAAGGGGTTTCACCAGACGCAAACAAGGTTATGAACCTCTAGTTTAGAATTTTCATACAGCTCTTTAGAAATAGATCAGATGCTGGCAATGTCAGTCCAAAAGCTTAAGGAAAGCTTGATAAACAATATTATGACCCCCACAACTACGGTATGAATTTTTGTTATTTAATAAATATGGCTGCGTTTCCCCCTCTTATAATAATAGTGAGCATTTATATACTGCTTACTACGTGCCAGATGCTTTGCTAAGCACTTTACAACTACTGTCTCATTTAATCGGCATAACAACCCTGAGTCTCCATTTTACAGATGGGGAAACTGAGGCAAACAGGTTAAATGATTTGCCCAGGGTCCCCCAGCTAGTTTCTGAGGCTGGATTTGAACTCACATCTTACTGACTCTGGGCTTGATGCACTATCCACTGTGCCACCTAGCTGCCATGCCACCCCCAAACCTCTCCCCTCTTTATCATTTTGACAGAGTACTACAGGATCAGAAGTACTGTATACATGTGGCCTCTGAGCATTTGGAATACTATGGTATTGTATTTTGTTTCTTGACAGACTGCAGTGAGATGTTCTAGTTTCTACCATATAGGCACAGAATAGAATAGTAATATGAGCCATGAGACACAGGATTAATTTGGCTGGATGCACAGTAGATTTCCCTTGGAAACAAGTTTGATTTTTAGGGAGTTCCTGGGACTGTGGTTTTAGCTTGTAACAAAAAGCTAGGAAATCAGGCCAAAATGTTCTCGATAAGTCTGATCCTAAGACTCAGATTTGTTCAGTTCCATTCAACAAGCATTTATTAAGTGTTTATATGTATGTAAGGCATTGCTGGACATTAGATTCAAAGGCAAAAAGGAAACCATGGTTGCTGTCAGGAAACTTCCATCCTGTGTGGAGGATATAATAGAGATCAGTAAATGCAGTGTGTGTACAAAAATAAGTACAGAGCCAACTTAAAAATGTTTAGGTAGATTTTAGATGTAGATTCAGAATCTGTCTCATGGAGCCAAGATAGCAGAGTAAAGTCAGGGACTTGCCTGAGCTGTCCCCAGTTCCCCTCCAAATATCATTAAAATAGCACCTCAAGTTGAATTGTGGAGCAGCAGAACCAACAAAAGGTCAGAGTGAAACAATTTTCTACCCCAGGCCAACTTAGGAAATAGGCAGGAAAGGTCTGTCTTGCTGGGTGGTGGTCAGACCTGGAGCCAAGCTTGAACTACACTGCCCCAGGCCATAGCAGGCCTTGTGGGGTGGCTGTATCTGCAGCAGAGGCAGCCGCAGCAGTAGGAGCTCTCAGCTCACAGGTAGTAACGGAGTTGGACAACTGGTCAGAAGGAAATTACAGGAGCTCCTTTACTGGAATTGGCTGCAGGACCCTGTTGTCATTGCCCATACATAGTCATAGACCCAGGGTGAAGAGGAGCACTAGCTCACTAGTGTATGTGACCACAGGGGTGGAGAGGCCCTGGTCACAGTTCCAGGGTGGAGAAGAGTGCTTATAGTCCCTTTTAGACCAGAGTACAGACCTGAAGAGCAATGACCACATCTCTCCCCAGCTCACATTACCTTGGAAGAAGCAAATACTTACAGACCCCCCCCCCCCGAACTAGCTCTGAAAACATCAGCAAGGAATGCCCGAAGCTTGGGACAGTGTCCCCTCCACCCAACTTTAACATAAAGTTATAATTCAAAGAATAGGCTGGAAAAATGAACAAATGACAGAAAACCTGATCATAGAAAGTTATTAGGTTGACATGGAAGATCCAAAACACAAATTCAGAAAGCAATAAAGTCAAAATAGCTACATGCAAAGCTTTAAAGAAAAATGTGAATTGGTCACAGGCCCCAAAAAGGAATTCATTGAAGAGCTTAAAAAGAATTTAAAAAAGTCAAATGGATTCAGGATCTAGAAGGATTTTGACAGAGTAGAACACTGGGCTGGATCTAAGATGAAATTCACTAGGGATAAAAACAAAGTCTTAAACTTGGGTACAAAAAGATCAATTTTGCAAGTGTGGGATAGGGGAGATGTGGTTAGGCGCAGTTCTGAAAAAGAGCTAAGGCTTTTTGTGCACTTCCAGCTAAGTATGAGTCAGCAGTGTGGTATGGCATTGAAAAAAGCTGATGTGATCTTGGGCTGCGTTAAGAGAGGCATAGCTTCCAGGAATAGGGAGGGGACAGTCTTCCTATACTCTGACCTTATCAGACCTTGTCTGGAATATCACATTTAGTTCTTTAGGAAAGTCATGGACAAGCTGGGAGAGTATTTGGAAACCAGTCATGATGGTGAAGGAGTTTTAAGTCCATGTCATGAGGATCAGTTTGTTAAAATTGGTTACCTGAAATAAGTAGGAAACTGAGAACAAAGTTACCGAGCCGTGTATCATTTAATTTGGAAAGCTAGTATTTGCATAATAAGCCAGGTCACTTGACTTCTCAGAGGTCAAAGTCAAGGAGTGATTTACAAAGATGGTTTTTGTAACAAAAAAGAATAATTGGAAAAATCATAGAAACTTGTTTTGAACATAGTCAATTGGACAAAGCAGGTCCCCTGACTAGTTATCTCCTCCAAGACTTTTTTTAATCCTGTGCCTGTTGTCCTTTCTTCCAGGTGGTCCCTTTTGTAACCAGAAAGCACTGGGAAAGAGGAATTTGTGGTCAGTGGTTAGCAGTCACCCCGCCCATCTTCCTTAGTAGAGTCTATGACTCATTTTAGACTCTAGCTCAAGAAAAAAGGGAGCTTATACACTAAGAGTGGAAAGAGAAACTTAGCCTCTAGATAACCTTTCTCCAGCTGCCAGAAAGAGGGACTTAGCTCCTGGTTAACCCTTCTTTCTGCCAGAAAGAGAAGCCTAGGGTTTTTTTTTTTAAAGTTATCCTATGATTATTTTATTATGTCTTATTCTGAATTATCTGCTACAAAATGATAAAATCTTCTCAATCTGTTCACTAAATCTATAGGTAACCTAGACTTAAGTCTGGCTTGCTTTTCCTAAAGGAGGGAGCTTAATCCTAAAATGAAACTAAAAATAAATCAAAGTAATCAAAAAATAGTCGATTTCTTTTTCAGATTGAAGGACCTGGGCATGTTTAGCCTGGAGAAGAGAAGACTTGGGGTGGGGAGGTATGCATTAGCTGTGTTCAGGGAGAAATTAGACTTGGTCATTTTGGCTACAGAGTAGAAAGGACCAATTTTAATGTCAGGCCTAAAATTTTGTCTGCAAGAAGATTTGCTGACGCCATGAGCAGCCCAAAATGAAATAGGCTGCATGGGGGAGAGTCTTCAGACAGGGTTTGAACAACCGCTTTTTTTTTTTTTTTTGCTTTTTGGTGAGGCAGTCGGGGTTAAGTGACTTGCCCAGGGTCACACAGCTAGTAATTGTCATGTGTCTGAGACTGGATTTGAGCTCATGTCCTCCTGACTTCAAGGCCAGAGCTCTATTCACTGCGCCACCTAGCTGCCCCTGACAACCACTTTTCAAGCTCGTTAACAGTGGGCTTTCCTTCTCTGTATGGATTAGGTGAGGTGGCCATTGAGGTACCTTCAAACTCCTTAAGCAACAACTGAGAGAATTAGAAAAGGCCTCTTTTAAGGAGGTGCCATTTGATACGAGCCATGAAGGTAGCTAGTGGTTCCAAGAGGCAGATGTGAAGAGGGAGAACATTTTCAGCCATGGGAAGTAAACTGTGCAGAGGCCCAGAGTGTTTGGGGAAGAACAGGTAGGAAACTTTGGCCAGAATAGAGTGTGTGAGGGAGAGTGAGCCTGGTAAACTGAGCAGGAGACAACCACAAAGCTTTAAATGCCAAACAGATGAGTTTGTATTTTGTCCTAGGGGAGGTACCAGGCCATAGCAGTTCTTGAGCACGAGTGCCATGGACCAGCCTGTGCTTCAGAGACATTTATTTGGTGGCTGTGTGCCTTCAGTCCTATTCGTGGGCTGCTTAGTAAATCTTGAGGTAAAATCACAAAACTGTGCAGACTAGATCTCCTACAAGTTTGTTATGTAATTTCAACTCAGTCTTCACTGCAGAAAGGCAGTCCTATTATACCTCCTCTTTAACAGATTTTACTCTCCCACTTAGCCCAGCAGCTCTTCTGAAGGTTACCTCATTTTTCGCTGAAAAAATTGAAACCGTTCACAGAGAGCTTCCTCTTCTCCTTGTTCCTCATCTCACATCACACAGATTTCTTCCACAGCTATGTCCTTCTGCACCTCTGTTTCACATGAAGAAGTGGCCCTTCTCCTTGCCAAGACAAACCCCTCTACAAACACAAGAGATCCTATTTCATCTCATATTCTCCAGCATGTGGCCCCGTCCAGCATTCCTGCTCTGTCAAGAATCTTCAGTTCCTCTGTCTAATTCACTGCTTCCCTACTGCCCACAAACATAATTATGTCTCCCCCATTCTCTTGATCTGTCCAGTTTCACTAGCTATCATCCTATACCTCCTCTCCTCCCCCTCGTCCCTTTTTTTGACTAATCTTCTTGAGAAGGCCTTCTACAATACGTATCTCCCTTTCCTTTTCTCTCATTTTGTTATTCATTTTTGCAGTCTGGCTTCCATCCTAATCATTCAACTGAAACTTTATCTTCAGTTTTATTGGTGAGCTCTTAATTGGCAAATATAATGACCTTCTTTTAATTCTTATTCTTTTTGACCTCAGTGTAGCCTCTGACACTGTCAATCAACATCTTTTCCCTGATTGTTTCTTCTTTAGATTTTCAGAACACTCCTCTCTCCTGGTTGTTCTCTTACCTATCTGACTGTTGTTTTAGTCTTTCTGTCTCCTTTGCTGAATCTTCATTCAGGTTAACTTTTAGAGTCCCTCTCAAGAAGCCATCCTGGGTCCTCTTCTTTATCTGTGCTTTCACTTGATCATCTAGTCAGCTCTGTTGATTGTAGTTATTATCTCTATTATCTCTCTTCTTCCTTCCCTCCCTTTTACCATTGAGGGTACCGCCTTGTTTCTGGTCACCCTGTTTAGCAACGTAGATGTCATCTTCATTTCCTCATTGTTTCTCACCACCACTGCCCCCATCCAGGCAGTTGTCAGGACCTGTTGTTTCTACTTTTGTGACAGTTCTTGTATATCACTCCTCTCCTCTGACACTGCCATCCCCCAGGTGCCGGCCCTCATTGTCTCACATTTGGACTGTGGAAGAAATGGTCTCCCTTCTCAAGTCTCCGCTTAGCTGTCAAACATCAATCTGACCTCTCACTATTTAATAACTCCAGTAGCTCCCTCTTACCTCCACAACAAATAACAAATCCTTTGTCTTCTAAAGACTTTCATAACCTGGCCCGTTCTTACCTTTCCAGTCTTCTTACCCCTTACTTCTCCCCATATACTCTGTAGTCCAGTGACACTTGCCTTCTTGCTGTTCCTTACAAAAGACACATCTCCTGACTCCATTAATTTTCACTGGTGGTCTCCCTGCCTAGAATTCTCTCCCACCTCCTCTCCACCTCCTGGCTTCCCTGGCCTCATTTATTTCACAGCTAAAGCATCACCTTCTACCAGAAGCGTTGCCCAGTGTCCCATAATACTTTCCTTCGTGCCACCTTGGTGCTTTCCTCTGAGAACACTCCCCACTTTGTCTTGTATAGTTCTTGTTTGTGCATGGTTGTTTGCATATTGTCTCTCCCTTTAAACTCTGAGCTCCTTAAAAGCAGGGACTGTTTTTTGCCTTTCTTTATATCCCCACTGCTTAGCACAGTTCTGCACACATAGTAGATGCTTAATAAACGCTAGTTGATTGATACTAGAAGCATCAGAAACAGTGAGCCAAATTACCAATATAGTTATGTGTCAGAAATGAAGTATTAAAACTTGACCAAGGTACTATCTTGATCAGATAAGGCATGCATATAGCTTTTTGGTTTCATAGAAGGCAGGGAAAAACTGCAGCTGCAGCCGCTGATAAGGTGTCTCTTTGTTGAGATAGACTACTACTGCAGTCTTCTAAAAGCTGGGATAGATAGAAATCAAAGAGCACCCCATCAGAAGACCCTAAATTATTATCATGTCAATAAAAAAAAGTAGTTCTCAAAGGCTGTATCATAAAATTTTGCATGTTATTGCAGATGAAAGAAAATGTTTAAGCATACAGGTATAATGAGTACTGTATTCACAAAATAAACAAAACATGTCTTACACATAAACATTAACCTCAAAACACCTCAGACAGTGAACTTTCAAAGAACTTAACAAATACAGCTGCTTTTACTAAAAGGGAAACTCTACACTTCAAGAGGGAGTGGTAGCTATTATCTCCCATAACTGCTGTGGTTAAGTAACAAACTTTTCCCTGCAGTGTAGAAGTATATTTTCCCTTTGGTGAAAAAAGAGAACAAAAAATTCTCCTAAATTAGTATTTTCTGTTTAAATTCTATGACTTCAGAAAACCTAAAGTCTACATGTGAAAACTTGTGTAATATATTACTTCAGCCTAGAACCAACAGTTCTGTCTTAGATATTCAGAAGCATAATTAAATTTTTTAAAGTTTCCCCCCTTATCTACTAGAACTCTATACTCCTCTCAGCTGTTGTATTTTTTTTTGAATAGTATTTTATTTTTTCCAATTATATGTAAAGACAGTTTTTAACATTTATTTTTACAAAATTTGGAGTTCCAAATTTTTTTCCTTCCCAAAATGGTAAGCAATTTGATATGGGCTAAATATGTACAATCATGTAAAACAGATTTCAGTATTGGTCATAGTGTGAAAGAAGAAACAGACCAGAAGGAAAAAATACACACACAAAAAATGAGAATAAAAAAAATGAGCTTTGATCTGCATTCAGAATCCATTATTTCTTTCTGTGGATATGGATAGCGTTTTCCATCACGAGTCTTTTGGAATTGTCTTGAATCATTGTATTGCTGAAAGGAAGTAAGTCATTCATAGTTGATCATCACGCAGCTTTGCTTGTTACTATGTACAATGCTTTTCTAGTTCTGCTCGTTTCACGTTGCATTAGTTCATGTAAGTCTTTCCAGGGTTTTGTGAAATCTACTTCAGCCGTTGTATTCTTATATTAAGGAGGATTAGGGCGTGTTCTTTTGTGTATGTGACCCTTCGAATTTATTTGCATTTATGATTGTTCTCTTGGCAGAGAAAAAGAGCCGTCCTTCCCCACACCAGATATGTGGAGCTGTTCATAGTTGTAGACAAAGAAAAGGTAAGATTATTGAATATTTTTCTTATTTTATTTGAAAAGATAGGCAAAGATTGTAAGCATATTAGTGTTGAGAAAATCCAAGATTTTTCTATTTCGAAATATCTTTCCTAGGAATTCTTCCATCCCATTCTCATAGCTTACCTTGACTGAACCTTTTCTGACTATAAAAGCAGGCATTGAGACCCTTCTTAATTAGATCCCTTAGTGAATATGAATCAAGCGCATCAAGTGCTGCTTTATTGTTTGATCAGGCTCTTCTCCCAGGAATTTCAGGTAGTCATATATCTTCACAAGCTGGAGGCCTGCCCATTTTACTGTACCTGGCAGTTGGACTGGGATTAACAAAAGAATAACAGAAAGATAAAGTCTTCTTTCATTCCTAAATTCATTGATGAAATGACACAGTGAACCAAGATGATAAGGAGGGAATTTGTTTGTTCATGAGAAGATACACTCTCAGCTTCATCAGTTTTAGATAACCATTACAATGTAACCATTTAAAAGAATTGGGGGCAGCTAGGTGGCGCAATGGATAGAGCACCGGCCCTGAAGTCAGGAGGACCTGAGTTCAAATGCGGCCTCAGACCAAACACTTGACACTTACTAGCTGTGTGACCCTGGGCAAATCACTTAACCCCAATTGCCTAAAAAAAAAAAAAGAATTGCCTCTGCTCTTGGTTCCTTCATAAAATGCTATCTACACTGTTCTTAAAAATGCAGAGAAGTTAACATGATTAGATGTCCCTTCTAAGTAGGTTTTATATGTAGGGATGGTGACCATTGTAAATATACTCATTTGTGTGTATAGATACATAATCATACCACTCAGTTCTGTATTTGTGGGGGGAAAAAGCTAAATATTGACAATGTCATGAATCTGTCTGAAAGTGAGTATGTGTGTATAAATATATGTATTTAGTGGGATAGGTTCAGAGTACAACTTGGTGACATTCAGAGACTGAGATTCTGATCTGTTCATTACAGGTTCATTACCTTTAAGTGGTAAAAGGCACAAAGCATAGGGAAGATAAATCAATATGAGTTGTGTCTCTAATAATGAGTAAATAGCATCTATAGAGTGTATTTGAAAAATCACAGAAGCAGATATTGCAGTATTTCAAAGGTTCTTGTAACTGTATATGCTGTGTCCCTAGAAGAAATGTTACATCGAAACAAAAACATTTGAAAGTAAATACCTAAATTTCATTCAACCCTTCCTATGACAAATTTGATTTAAAAACAACTTCAATTTGTTCAGTTTGTCTCATCTTTTTAAAAGACTATTAAAAGCAGCCATAAATTATCTTGAGTATTTACCCTGTGGTTAAATGATTAACATTTTCTTACTTAGATCATATGTAAATCACAGAGAAGTTGTTTACCTGCGTTTGTCAAGAGTTTCCTTGCCCCTGTATTCTCTCTGCCATTGAAAATCACAGGTCCAATCTCTTTGTGTTCACATAGTATCAAAACAACCTCTTTTTTTTTTTGGTGAAGGAAATTAGTCACACTAATTGTTTTAGTTTATATGACAAATGGACTAACCATATATTTCAGTTTAAAACCAGTTGTTTTGGTTGAACTCTAGTCACAAATAAAATCTAGCACATGAAATGATTGAAGATGGTGCTTTTAAACTTCCCTTCTTTGACTTATCAAAGAAAAATATTCCATCAGTTTTCTTAGACCAATCAGTCTCATCCATTTTTGTTTATAGTACAATATTATTTTTTGATGTGAGGGATCATGGCCCACTGAACATGTAAGTCAGCCACAGTAGGGGAGTCAGGAGGCTTGCAAGTGTAGAGTTTCCCTTTTAGTAAAAGCAGTTGTATTTGTTAAGTTCTTTGAAAGTTCACTGTCTGAGGTGTTTTGAGGTTAATGTTTATGTGTAAGAGATGTTTTGTTTATTTTGTGAATACTGTAGTCATTATACCTGTGTGCTTATACATTTTCTTTCATCTGCAATAACACGCAAAATTTTATGATACAGCCTTTGAGAACTACTTTTTTTTACTGACATGATAATAATATAGGGTCGTTAGATGTTTTTTATACTTTTAAACCTTCCCTGTCATCTCCAGAAGGTTAACTACCAGGCAACTTTATTTAGTTTTGTGCCAAGGCAGCTCATGAAGGCAGTCTACTGATGGTTTGTGAAAGGTTTGTGACCTGCCTTGGTGGAGGGAATACTTAACATCAGGGATGAAGTACATCTTTTGAAATTTCAAAGTATAAACCTTCTGTACTATAATATTCTTAAACCTGTTTTATTTTTAAATGAGTATAAATTTGGTCTAAATATTACAATTAACTTATACTGACTTTTAATTCCTTGCTAATTTGGAGGAAGTTATTTCATGTTTATGAAAAACAGACATCATTTTATGTTTAATTTCCTTTATCTGTCTTGGTGTCTTCTACAGATTGTCCTTAATTTTAGACATAGATATAAGATTTGTAAACTAATCATACTAATTTGTTGTTGTTTTTTTAAATCCCTTCTCAGACTACACTTTTGTCATTTTGCTTATCCTGAAGTCATTTTCTTTCTTTTCCTTTTTTGTTTTGTTTTTCAGTATGACATGATGGGGAGTAATCAGACTGCTGTGAGGGAAGAGATGGTTCATTTAGCAAACTACTTGGATAGTGTGAGTTGTGGTTAATGGCATGATAAAATATTCATTGTTTATATTAGACCTTCAGAACGGATTGTAAATTTCTCAGTTTGAGCTCTGAATCACCCAGGGACTTGGTGGTGTTTGAGTCGTACAGAGCTTTATTTCTTAGATTTGCAGACTGCCCTGCTTTGTGATACTTGTTATGTTTGAAACAGAGGTAAAGGTGTAGTGGGTGTATCAAAAATACTTTTAAAACTATAAAGCTCCTAATTTCATGGAACACATGTTCTAAGGCTGATCTGATGATGTCATTTCATAATATGTGAAACCTTACTATAATATTATAGTATTAATAATATCAGTCAAATAATATTATATGTTTAATATATAATATTATATTATAATAATATTGTTACATATAAATAATATTATAATATTATTTGATTGATAGCCCCATTAAAATACTTGTTATGTAGTTTGCATGGAACTCAATTCCTTTAGTGATGTTGCTTCAACTAATATTGTATTTTTGTGGATACGGTTAATGATTTTAGATGGAGAGAAGTCTGTATCAACTTGTTTGCCCTCAAAGTACTTGTCTAGGAATATTTGACTTTTATTGACAGTATCTCCATATTCTTATTAAGGGAAACTTTTAAAATAAGAATTCCCTTCTACAGTTAAAACTTTGGTATAACAATATTCACACTAAATATTGCATAGTGCTCTTACATATATTCTCTTATTTGAACTTCACACAACCCTAGGAGATAGGTGTCATCATTGTCCTCATTTTGTAGATGAGGAAACTGAAGCTAAGAGAGGGCAGTGATTTGCCTAGGGTCACACAGTTACTAAGTCTTAGAGATAGGATTTGAACCTAGGTCCACCTGACTCCACTTTTGTCACTTTGTCAACTATACCCACTGTCTTCTTGTAATTTGGTATAAAGTTGTAAAGTAGCTTTGTCTCTAAGGTAATACCAAGGTATGTATTCAGAAAAAAACTAACGTCATTTTATTAACAAAGGAAACAATTTCCCTGGGACTTAGTTGTAATTGTTTTACTTATATGGATGACATCTGTCCCACACTCTTTTTTTGGACTGTGTTCTTAAATGCATTTTTGGATGGTGTATTTTTCTTTTTCCAGATGTACATCATGTTAAATATTCACGTCGTACTAGTTGGGCTAGAGATTTGGACAAACTCAAACCAAATCAGTACGGCTGGAAGTGCTGGTGATGTGTTGGGGAACTTTGTACAATGGCGAGAGAAGTCACTGATTCCGCGTCGGAGACACGACAGTGCGCAATTAGTTTTGTAGGTGATTTTTTTTTATTATTTCAAATAGTCTTATTAAAAAGTAATTATTATTTGATAATCACATTTATTACTACTGTTTTCTCTCAAGGCTTCTAAGCCTTAAGCAAAATTGAAAATTCAAAATGTGACTACGAGGTACTGACTTACTTTGAGCAGAACTTTGGTAGCCAAGTGAGTGTTGTTCCCTTCAAATTAATTACTGTGGAAATCTGTGCATTTTTTTAGAAGATATTTCCATTGTTCAGTTTATATTTGCAACTCATTTTTGGCCATCAGAGTCAACATTACATTCTTTAAAATCTTCGTCTTGTGAGAGTGGATTTGATTTTTGTAAATAACCAAAAGTTATTTGGAGAAATGTTTCTGGTCAGCAGAGTGAATAAGTTAGCAGGTTATACTGTTTGAGGGCAAAAATAAGTTTTTACTTCGATGTTAGTTTTTATCTGTGGTTCATAAATTGTTTCTGATGGCAATTCCAAAAGTAGTTTTAAAATATTTTGGGCAGTACATCTTGGCAATTAACGTATAGCCACCTTGAATTTATTACTTTGACAAGCAATATTTTCATAGTTGTGTATAGTATGTTCGTTAAGTCATACATTTTAGTCTTCCCATTTTGATATCATCCCATTCTGATAGCTTATTGTGATGTGGAGGTGAACCTGAGTTCTTGAAAATTATACCACTGGACCACAAGCTCTGGCAGATTTTATCAAGGCGTTTACTGTAATACCAGCAGCAAGCTCTGGTCTTTTTTTTTTTTTTATCCTCAAGAACAAGCCTAGTAAAGTATGTAGGGGTTTGGTCCTAATGGATTGGTCACTAGATGATGAATTTTTTGGCTTGGCAGTCCATGAAACAAAGAATATAAAATTTCCATTGGTCCAGGGAAGTCCTCTTCCACTTCTACGGTGACCATGGCAGAATGGTAGAAAAGGGGAAAAGGGAATTATTGAAGTACCTAGTTATTAGATTATCTATAAACATTTACTGTTGGGTTTTAAATGTGGAGATCTTTGTCCCATGACCAGTGAGTGACTATACAGTGCTATTAGAGTAATTGAACCAAATTAATGTTGACATTTTTGGTATAGATAAAACTGGAACACATAAGGGAATTATAACTAAATGTTAGGGAGAGTACCAGGCTATCTTTGAAGAGGTAAGTAAAGAAATTGGGAGAATTGGTTTCTTTGTTCACCCAAAGGAAAAAAGAGACATTATTACATATGGGCCACTTGACCGTCTTACTTTGTAGTCTATATAATGAGCACAAGCAAAAAGACCAGTAAAATAATTGCTGTTTTTGTGCCAACTTGTATTGTAGTGGCTGAAGAGATAGAAAACTTTTATAAAAAACTTAAAAAGATTCTCCAAAGCATCAGCATATACCTTGAATCTGGTGACATCAGTGTGAAGATGAGGCTGGAATGGAGAAAAATTTAATAGAAAATAAGATCTAGTAGTACGAAATGGAAGAGGCAAAGGCTTGTGTATATAGGCAGAAGGGTCATACACATGTATGGACATATAGATGTTTTCTTCAGAAAGAGTTGGAAAGCACCGGACGTTGTGAGAAGTGAGCAATATTATTTTTATTTTTTAATGAAATTGATTGTATCTCTGTCAGGAGATGACTAGTTATGAATTTTGGAGTCATTTTTAAATCAGCTTCCTGAATGCAGTTATACCATTGACTAATTAGAGCAAATGTCAAATAATCCAATATTACCATTAATCTGTGATCTCATTAGTAGGAATTGCCTCTGGTAAAATCACAGACTTCTTGTGCCTGCTCATTCATTGGGACTTGTTCATTGCCTCCCTTAGTTTTGCTACAAAGTCCATTCAACATATTGAGAACCTTCCTTGCATTGTCTTCCCATTTTGTGGATGCTAATAGTCCACATTGACTGTTCCTTGGTTGTTTTTCATTCCTGCTATATGACTGACCCATTTTTTTTTCTAGTTATCTATTTCTCCAATGATTTACTTTTTAACACTTTTCCTAAGAAATTCCTCATTGACAGTATTTTGCAACCTGCTCACATCCACTGTGCCTCTTTCTGTAGTCCTTTGGGTGAGCCTCAACTACAGTTTTTCAGAGACTAGTATTCTGTATCTCAAAGCCAGACAACTTTACTAGATGATTACTGGTATTAAAAAGGATAGACCCTATTTTTTTCTTTTTCTTCTTTTTCCCCAGAAAGAAGCATGAGGTCATTGAAAGAACTGTACCTTTCCTCAAACACTTTGTAACCCACCTTCTCCTTGGACCTAACTCGTTTTCTGTTGTACTGTTTGTCTAAGCCATTGATAGAAAAGCTCTGTAGGTTGCCTTTCCAACTACAAAGTATAATCAAATTAATAGACATTTTTCATGAGCTGAATTTTTCCTTCCTGGGTATAAAGATGAAACTCTCTTAAGTGACTGTGATCACTTTTAATCACATTTAAGAAGTTTTAAAGTATACTGGGACTGAATGAACTCATTACAATGATTTTATTATGTTATTATTACATTTATTATATTATTCCTATGTGTAAATATTACACATAGGAATATCTTGAAGACTTTGTCATCTGTGCAGGATCAACTTGGACTTTGTGGTACACTTCCTTCATGATAGTGGCAAATAACATTGGCAAACAAACTCAATTTTTTTTGAAGGAATGTCTCAGCAGTGAGGGTCAGTTGAGAGCATCCTTTGGGAAGCTTGAGGGTTCGTGAGATTTAGAACAGTTGCTGAGGAGAGTGGAATAGAGAATCGACTAAGGAAGATTAGAATATTTGTGTTAATGTAGTGAGAGCCTTATCAAGCTTAGATATAACAAATTTATAGTGGTTTTCTGATTCTTTTAGCTCTGATCAATAGCTCTTGAATAAGAACAAGGGCAGTACGGGGTTAGGGATGGCAACAACTTCTTTTTCCCCAGAAAGAAGCATGAGGTCATTGAAAGAACTGTACCTTTCCTCAAACACTTTGTAACCCACCTTCTCCTTGGACCTAACTCATTTTCTGTTGTACTGTTTGTCTAAGCCATTGATAGAAAAGCTCTGTAGGTTGCTATGTACCTACTGATGGTAAGAGTAACACTGGGTTGCATTTTGGAAAGGCATGATTAGTCATAGGACAAGGGAGACAAAGGGCATGAAAGTAGAGGATACTGAAGAATTGAGTTTCTTTGGAAAGGTATTGAGATTGGGAAGAGACAAGAGCATAGCCAGTACAAGGGAGTGAATGGAGGGATAAAAGGAATAGTTGTCACAATAATAATGAAGAACAGGATTTGGGATAAAAGGGAAATTTATTTGACACTAACAGCTCGTGAGAGCTCTCTGGGTACTAAGCTGTGGAAGGATATTTATCTGTACCAGTGAAGAGATGAAGTACAATATCATTTTTAAAAAGACAGGAAATATAAGAGGTGGTGTGGGGTAGTAAGTGAGAAGACCTGAGTTCATGTACCACCTTTCATACTTCATTAATGTGTAATCAGCTGACTGTCCCTAACTATTTAAAAATGTATAAAAGGAAGGAAAGAAAGAAACATACATTTATTAAGCACCTGTTATGTACCAGGCTCTGTGCTATCTGCTTTACAAATATTATTTCATTTGATCCTCACTATAACCCTGGGAGGTAGATGCTATTATTATCCTCATTTTATAGTTGAGGAAACTGAGGTGCACAGGGGTAAGTGACTTGCCCAGGATGACACAGCTACTAAGTCTCTGAGGCTGGATTTGAATTCAGATCTTCCTGACACCAGGCCTAGTGCTCTATCTGCTGTTGCACTTAGCCGCTACAAAAGGGGGATAAAATATACAAAGCCTCTCATCAGGGTTCCTGAGAAAAAGGCACTTTGTAAACCCTAAAAGACTATGGAAATGTAAGCTATAATAATTATACAATACTGTTTAGAAGGATTTCCGTTTAAGTGTTTTAATTTAAACAAGTTTAGTTATTTTAAAGAGTATGTTATAGTTACTGAACAAATCCAGTTATTTGGGAAGCATTTATTACAATGGATGAGCAATGTTCAATTACATCATTGCAATGTTGCTCTGTTCGATTCTGACTGTATATTTGACACAGCTTTTCCTACTACTGTTTCCTTGTGACAAATCTGATGACATCCTAACCAGCAGGAAGTTTTACTTTATTAGTCAAGTTCCATTTTTTCTTTCTCTGGCAATTCAGGAAGAAGGGCTTTGGAGGGACTGCAGGAATGGCATTTGTGGGAACAGTGTGTTCAAGAAGCCATGCAGGAGGCATTAATGTGGTATGTTTGCTTTTATTTACTGTTGATTTATTTATTCAGTTATCTACTTGTGTAGCTGTCTATTTATTAAATGACATTTTAGTTTTTTCCCCAAATTAAATGTAAAAATAATTTTAACGCTTTTTAAAAAAGTTTTGATTTCCAAATATTATACCTCCCTCTTTGCCCTCCCCCTTCCATGAAATGGTAAGCAGTTTGCAATCTGATATAGGTTGTACGTGTGCAGTCATGTAAAACATATTTCCACGTTAGTCATTTTGTGGAAGAAAGCTTGAACCCCCCCCCCCCCAAATAAGTATAAAATATTCAAACATCATCACTTCTTTCTCCGGAAGTGGATAGCATTTTTCTTCATGAGTCCTTTGGGATTGTCTTAAGTCATTGTATTGCTGAAAATAGCTAAGTTATTCACAGTTGTTCACTGTATAATGTTGCTGTTACTGTGTACAGTGTTCTGGTTCTGCTCACTTCACTCTGCATTAATTCATATGAGTCTTTCCAGGTTTTTCTGAAATCATCCTGCTCATCATTTCTTATAGCACAGTAATACTCCATTACAATCATATACCATAGCTTGTTCAGCCATTCCGCAATTGATGGGCATCTCCTCAGTTTCAGATTCTTACCCCACCACAAAAAGCGCTGTTATAAATATTTTTGTACAGATGAGTCCTTTCCCCCTTTTTTGATCCTTTGGAATGTATACCTAGTACTGGTGTTGGAGGATCAAAGGGTAGGCACAGTTTTATAGCCCCTTGGCTATAAATTGCTCTCCAGAATGGTTTTTTGTGTGATAATTTACTCCATTCTATCTCTTCTTTCCTTCTTTTCCCAGTGCAGTCATCCTTTTCACCCTTTAATTTTTCTTTTTTTTTTGGATATCATCCCATTATAGTCAACTTACCTTGCACCCACTGTCTATGTATACTCCTTCTAATTACTCTAATAGTGATAAAGTTCTTAAGAGTTACAAGCATCAGGTTCCTATGTAGGAATATAAACAATTTAACCCTATTGAGTCTCTTATGTTTTCTCTTTCCTGTTTACCTTTTAATGCTTCTCTTGAGATCAAATTTTTTTTGTTCATCTCTGATTTTTTAATTAGGAATACTTGAAAGTCTTTTATTTCACTAAATGTGCATTTCCCCCTGGAAGGATTATACTCAGTGTTACTGGGCAGGTGATTCTTGGTTGTAATCTTAGCTCTTTTGCCTTCCAATAAAGATTGTGGTTGAAATATGCTAATACTTGGGTATTCTTTTAAACTATTCCTTTTAAAAAAATAGGTGAAGTTACAATGTCATCAGCCTGTGAAAACTGAGACTATCACTTTGTTTCTCAGAAGTTATTTAAAATGTCTCCCATCAATTGCTATTTAAAAATCTTTGTGTTTAAATCCATATATTGCTGTGATCTTGAACATACAAATCCAAAAGGCATTCATGTAAATGTTGGTTTATATTCTGCCCTTAGTAGAATACCTTATTAAAACTGAATGAAATTATTTTTGTTGAACAAATAATTTTGAGAAATAGCACTCCCTGATCACCTTCCTCCTTTTGTATAGTTTGGACAAATCAGCGTGGAGACCTTTGCATCCATTGTTGCTCATGAGTTGGGACATAACTTGGGAATGAACCATGATGATGGGAGAAACTGCAGTTGTGGAGCAAAGAGCTGCATCATGAATTCAGGAGCATCGTGAGTCACATGTTTTCTTTCTTGGCCTTGGGATAAATAGTAAAATAGAGAAATGACCCTCAAACTTGAATGAATGAGTTTCCATCATGTTATTTTAGAAGTTAAATATCATAAAGAAGTTATTAATTTATGAAAAAAAAATAAACATATTAAAAACTTGAATGGTAACTCACATTTATGTAATGCTTTAATGCTTGTAAAACTTTAAAAAAGACCTTTTCTCATAACAGTTGTGTTGTAGGTAATACAAAGATTGCAATATGGAAAACAATGGACTTTGAAGTCAGGGGACTAGTTGAGTCTCAACTCTTCACCTTTCTGCTTTAATAACTTTAATTCACTCTTTGGGTCTCAGTTTCCACACCTGTTAAAAAAAAAAAAGGTTCGCATGATAATCTCTAAGGGCACTTCCAGCTCTAAATCCTATGATTGCTTTTTTCCAAATTTGTAAAATGAGGCTCAGATATATTTATATGGCTTCATGTAGTTATACAGTTAGTATATATCACAACCAGAATTTGAACTTCTCAGTCTTCTAAGTCCAAATCCAGTGCTTTACTGTATCTTTCTATTTTTGCCAGAGACTGACACCTGTAGACCACTTGGCAGATACTCCCAGACTATATGACTCTATAAACACATTTTGAAAACTATTCTTTGTTGTTGTGAAAACTACTGACAGAGATTAGAGAAACAAACTACTTCCCTTTCCTCCCTCCCCCCCTTTTTGGGGGTTTGGAGATAACCAAACAAAAATTAAAACAATGACAACAGAAGCATTCAACTGTATTTGTTTCATAATTGTGTGTTGACTTGAAGACGTTGGTAGAGCACGGGGATAGGTATTTGGAAACCTGGATTTAGCCTTGATTTTGCCGTCAAATAACGTATAGAGACCTTGCCCAAGTCATGCAGCCTTTGTGCCTCAGTTTCCTCATCTGTAAAAATAAGATAGGTTAGAATATTAAAATTATTAACCTTTTTGTACTAAGGAAGTGATTGACCATATCACTTACCTACTAAATAAACTCCCTGTTATCTCCAGGATCCAATATAAAATGCTCATCACTTGCCCCTCCCCACCTACCTTTCAAGTCTTCTTACACCTTAGGACTGTAGTGCCGTGTACTCTGACATCTGATGACACCAGCCTCTTTGTTGTTCTTCTAACAAGATAGCTCCCATTTCTCCTTTCTACATATTTTCACTGCCTATTCCTCATGCCTGGAATGCTCTCCCTCCTAATCTCTGCCTCCTGTATTTCCAGTTTTCCTTCAAGTCTCAATTTAAATACCACCTTTTACAGGAAGCTTTTCCTGATAAAAAGAATTCTTAATTCTATTAGATTGCTTCTGTTGATCATCTTCAGTTTATCCTGTATATAACTTTTGTTTGCAGTTATTTGTGTGTTGTCTTTACCATTAGATTGTGAGCTTCTCAAGGGCAGGGACTGTCTTTTACTTTACTTTGTATCTCAGTGCTTAGCAGAGTACCTGGCACTTAAATGTTTATTGACTAATTGACATAAATATCTGGGCTTTACTGTAATTTCTGTGAACATGGTTAGTACTAATTGTGAAAGCTTAGGGGAGAGGATTATACATAAGAGATGATGGAGGTGGCATTTCCATCAAAGGGGTGGGATTAGAAGTGAAAACATGACTATTCTGCCATACTTTGGTATGGATATGTGAACTTATTGATATCTGTATTTACTTTAGTAGTGCAAGTCTCCACTTATCCGTACTGCATATGCAACTCTTATGCAGGCTTTCTTTTAAATCCTCCATAAGATATCCAACAAATACCTCCTCCTGATTTTTTGACATTTTGTGGATACTAATGGAATATATGGCCTATCCTTCAGTTTTCCTGTATTCTCACTACACCTGTCTGGCCCACCTCCTTTTACATTTACATCACTCTAATGATATGACATTCCTCCTTTTTAGTTCTTCTCTGGTAATTTGTTGACACTTATTCATATTTTGGGGGCAGCTAGATAACTCAGTGGATAGAACACTGAGTCTACAGTCAGGAAGATGTCTTCCTGAGTTTAAATCTGGCCGTATACACTTAGTATATATGTGACCCTGGGCAAGTCATTTAACCTCTGTTTGCCTCAATCCACGGGAGAAGGAAATGGTAAACCACTCCAGTATCTTTGCTAAGAAAATCCCATGGACAGTATAATCTGTGGGGTCACGAAAAGGCAGATATGTCTGAATGACTGAACAACAACCACAAACTTATATTCATCATACACCTTGTAATTGTTATCTATAGTTTTAATCAATCAGAGGCTGGGATAGTCCATGACCCTTGATTCAATGAGAAATTTGGAGTAATTAAAAATATTGCACATTTTCCCAAAGACAATCCAGCCCATTCTCCTCCTGTTCAATTTTAAACTCAGTTCATTGTGCATTTACAGTGTCTGGATAAGATATATGCTAATTAACTAGTTCTGGTCACTTCAGTATATATCATTATCTGGACAATAGACATTTTTCAACCACTTGGCTTTTAGTTATAGGCTGAACTTAAGTAATTAACGAATGTCATTTAGGTTCTACAGCATTGTAGGCTTGAGGTAGTTAGCACAGTGTTATCTGCGCGTCTGAATGGGTTATGCTGGAGGGTCACACCCTTTAAAGGGTGTATTGAATGAGCTAAACAGACTTTAAGTCTTTTGGCAACTTCTCCATGTTTCTCTTGATGCCAGGTTATTGAAGAGATTTTTCTCTGTCATGTCTTTCAGGGAATCTTGTACTTTTCACATATGAATGATAAACATCTCATTGAAGGATTGGCTTTCAGCTCTATTGAATCAAAATTTTTAATAGTTAAATAAATAATAAGCACAGTAGACTCTTGTATTCCTTGTATATGACTATGGAGATTTTGATACGTTGTGTGTATCATTTGTAGAAGCCTGCCTTCCTTCCTCCTTTCTCAAACCTTCATTAAGGATGTTCTCAATGTATATGTAGATTATTTTCCTAAAGATTTTGTGGAGATATGAAGTAGGCACATGAGTTGATAGTTTATGATATTTTTAAAATTACCTTTTTGGTCATATTAATGTCTGTGGTGGTTTTTTGGTTTTGTTTTTTGAGCTTTTATTATTTGTGAGAATTGATCCCTCAATGTCTACAAAATTGTTTCTTCTCCAGCATGGACCTGCTATGTGTATACTTGTTTTAGTCTAACTTTTTTCCTATCTTTGTTTTCTTTAATGCCAGTTCTTCTTTCTTGTACTGTGTATTGGTGACTGCTCTTAGAAGCCAGATGTGATGTCTCCATTGCTGGAGAAAAGATTTGTTTTAGAATTTTTTTTTTTGAACAGAGCAAAATGTTTTTGTTTGAAAATGGTTTAGTCCAGGGGAACTGTGGCCTCGAGGCCACATGTACCCTTCTAGGTCCTTGAGTGTGGCCCTTTGACTGAATCCAAACTGAATCCAAACAGTCCCTGTAAGGAGTGAGTTCTGTGATGTTTGGAGTCAGTCAAAAGGTTGCACTTGAGGACCTAGAGGGCTACACGTAGCCTCAAGGCTGCAGGTTTCTGTTCTTGTTCTCTCAGTTTTATCTTTAAATGCCTTGAGGATGATCTGGTTTAGCTGGGTCAACAGACAGGGGTTGGTTTTTTTTTCCCCCCAAGCTGCTTTTTTTTTTTTAATTGCATCTTGTTTTACAAGATCATCCCCTAACTTCCTCCTCCATAAGATTTTACGAACTAGCTTATAGTATTAATCAATATTTATGCTACCATAGCTAGTGATCATTTCAGATTAGAAGAGTTATAGCAATAGCCTCTAGCTGCGCAGCTCTCTCTTCTGGAAATACTTATAGGACTTGGTGGAGGAGGGTTGAGGTTGAAAGGTATTCTTCAGGGAAACGATATAATTTTCATTGATTATCTCCATTGATCAGGTTGCCTGCAGACTCTTGAAGTGGGTTATCTCATATCTGTTCCAGAATTATACTTATATCTATATCTCCTGTATCTATTTATATTTTATTAAAATATATATTTATATTTTATTAAGATATATATTGTGTATATCTATACACAGATATATAGTGTGTATATACATAAATTTATATTGTATGTATATATGTACGTGTTTGTTATATGCATTTGTGTGTATGTGAACGTGTGTGTGTGTGTGTGTGTGTGTATGTGTACTGTTACAGACTCCCTGACCTTGCTTTATATTTTAATACAATATAAATAGATACAAGCTCTGTGTGTGTGTGTGTGTTGTGTGTGTGTGTGTTTGTGTGTGTGTGTGTGTGTGTGCGTGCGCGCGCACGCGCGCAGATCAATAAACATTAAGCACCTGCTATGTGTCAGGCACTTTGCTAAGCAGTGGGGATACAGAAAGACACAGACAGTCCCTGCACTCAAGGATATATAGATCTATATCTAGATAGATACACCACACACATATATTATATATGTTGGACTCTGGTATATTGGGAATGTTCTACAGATGCTATTATCTGCATATATTAGGTATTTGTAATCAAGAAAATATAAATGTTAATAGCTGTTTATGTTAGACTGTTTATAGCCAAGAAAGTAGGACTTTAGCACCAGTTACAAAGAGCTGTATGTGATTTGGAGGTTGGCATTTAGCCATTAGATTTGAAGAATATGTTTTGAAAAATACAGTGAAATTATAGAGGCAGTATAACATACTGAGGAAGAAAAGCCCAAGGGATTTGGAAGGAGATTTCCTGGGTTCTTGTCCAGACTTTGCCACTTATGTCTTGCCCCTTGGCAAGTCACTTTCTCTGAGTCTCACCCTCTCATCTGCAAACTGTGGATAGTTATACTTGTTCTGTGCTATGAGGGGGCAGGTAGGTGACTCAGTGGGTAGAACACTGAGTTTAGAATCAGGAAGACTCATCTTCCTGAGTTCAAATTTGGCCTCAGACAAATACTAGCTGTGTGACCCTGGACAAGTCACTTCACCCTGTTTGCCTCGGTTTCCTCATCTGTAAAATGAGCTAGAGAAGGACATGGCAAATCACTCCAGCATCTTTTTCAAGAAAACTCCAAAATGGGGTATAAAAGAATTGGGTACTAACGAAATGACTAAACCACAGTAACAACTGTGCTATGAGGAAAACAGTTTAATTTTTAACGGAATGCTGTGAGTGAAAAGCTTTGTAAACATTAAAGCATTATATAAATGTGAGCTTCATTTATTATTTTGTAGTAAAGGATATCTATTGCAGATGCTTCTCACGATCAAGCAAGAAAATGGACACAAAATACTTTGCATATCTTAAAGCACTATATAAATGTGAGCCATCCTCATTATGGTGGCATATACATTGTTAGAGAAGAGGATCTTTGTGTATTAATTTTTAAAATGTTTTATTTTTTTCCTAAATAAATATGAATTCTTGCAAGTACTCTTTCAGTTTTATGATGCAATATGAAAAATTTATTTTTGCTTTTTTGGTTTAGTTAAATTTTCAGGCTTGCAAAATAACATAAAAACTTTCCTCCTTATGTTGCTTTTAGAGGTTCCAGAAACTTTAGTAGTTGCAGTGCAGATGACTTTGAGAATTTAACATTAAATAAAGGAGGAACCTGTCTACTTAATATTCCAAAACCTGATGAAGCCTACAGTACCCCTTACTGTGGTAATAAAATAATAGATTTTGGGGAAGAATGTGACTGTGGGTCTCCAAAGGTCAGTAATTATTATTACAATTTTTGAATTCTGCTTTTTTAATTTTCATTTTGAACTTAAATACATAAAGACAAAAAAGGAACATTTTCAGCACAGCATAAGAAGTGGATTCACTATAAAACCATGAATTTACATTTCACACTGTTTAATTGTTTTTAAAAACTATGTATTAAGTACTATACATTACTTTTAAAGCTACTCAGCTTTCTATGTTTCCTTCTAAATTTTCTTTTATTCTCTGTTGTGCACTTTTAATATCCCTCCCCCCCCTGCCCTAGAGACGACCACCATTAGACACAGATATCTGTGTGTGTGTGTAAAACCATACTATACATACATACTTCTATTTATCTGTTCTTGCCCTGGAGGCAGACAGAATCTTTCTTCATAGGTCCTTTGTAGTTGATTTGAATATTTATAATACTCAAAATGACTTAGTTGTTCAAAATTGTTCCTAGAACAATATTGCTGTTACTGGGTACAACATTCTCTTGGTTCTGCTCATTTTGCTCTTCATTATTTCATGCAAGTCTTTCCATGTTTTTCTAAAATCAATAAGCTCATCATTTCCTACAGCACAGTAATATTCTGTCATGATCATATACCACAGCTTATTTAGCTGTTCTGCAATTGCCAGGCATCCCCACGATTTCCAGTTCTTTGACACCACAAAGAGAGCTGCTATAAATATATCTGTGTATAGGTTCTTTTCCTTTTTCCCTAAAAAACTTGGGAAACAAAACTAGTAGTAGTATTGCTAGGTCAAAGGTTATAGACAGTTTAATAACTCTTTAGGCATAATTCTAGATTGCTTTCAGAATGGTTGGATTAATTCACAGTTCCACCAATATTGAATTAGCATCCCAGTTTTTTTCCATATCCCCTCCAACATTTATCACTTTCCTCTTCGTCATTTTAGTCAATCTAATAGATATAAAATGGTATCTCACGGTTGTTTTAATATTTATTAATCAGTAACGATATAGAGCATTTTTTCATATGACTATAAATTGTTTTGATTTCTTTATTGGCAAACGGCTTGTTCATATCGTTTGACCTTTATCAATTGGGGAATGGCTTGCATATCTAAATAGCTTTCACAAAGTTCTTTATGTATTTGAGATATGAGACCTTTATCTGAGAAATTGTCTATAAATATTTTTTCCCGATTTTCTGCTTTCCTTCTGATCTTGGCTACATTGGTTTTATTTGTACAAAACTTTTTTAATTTAATGGAATTAAAATCATCCATTTTATACATCATAATGCTCTCTAACTCTTGTTTATTTATTAATTGTTCGCTTATCCATAAGTCTGATAGGAAATAGGTTTCACATTTTTCTAATTTTCTTGAGACATCTCCCTGTCATGTATCCATTTTGACCTTGTCTTGGTAAATGGTAAACATTGGTCTATGCCCAATTTCTGCCAGATGGCTTTTCTAACAATTTTTACAAAATAATGAATTCTTATTCCCAAAACTTAAGTCTTTACCCTTGTCAGACACAAGGTTACTATAATCATTTGCTGCTGTGTATTTTATGTGTTCTCTGTTCCACTGATCTACCTTTCTGTTTCTTAGCCAGTACCAGATAGTTTTGATAATTACTACTTTATGATGTAGTTTAAGATTTGGAACTGCTAAACTTCCTTCCTTTACATTTTTTTTCCATTAGTTTCTTTGATACTCTTGACCTTTTGTTCTTGTGAATGAGTTTTGTTATTATTTTTTCTAACTCATTAAAATATTTTTTTTGGTAATTGGGATAGCATTGAATAAATTTTGTTTAGGTAAAATTGTCATTTTTATTATATTGGCCCTGCTTATCCATGAGCTATTAGTATTTCTCCAATTATTTAAAATATGATTTTATTTGTATAAAAAGTTTTTTATAATTTTGTTCATACAGTTCCTGAGTTTGTTTTGGTATAATCTGAGGTATTTTATACTGTCTAGAATTATTTTAAATGAGGTTATCTCTAACTATCTCTCCTTGCAGGGTTTTGTTGGTGATATGTAGGTGTGCTGATGATTTATGTGGGCTTTATGTTCTGCTACTTTGCTAAAATTATAATTATTTCAGCTAACTTTTTAGTTCAGTCTTCAGGATTTTCCAAGTATATCATCATATCACTTGCACAAAGAGGTAATTTTATTACCTCATTGCTCATTCTGATTCTTTCAATTTCTTTTTCTTATTGTTATTGGTAGGATTTCTAACACAGTGTTGAATAATACTGGTAAAAATGGGCATCCTTATTTCATTTCTGATCTTACTGGGAAGACTTCTAGCTTATCCCCATTGCAAATAATACTTGTTGATAGTTTTAGGTAAATGCTTCTTATTAATTTAAGGAAAAATCCTTTTATACCTATACCTTCAAATGTTTTTAATAGGAATGAGTGTTGTACTTTATCAAGAGCTTTTTCTGCATCTATTGATATAATCAAAAGGTTTTTTTTTAACTTTTATTATTGATAAAATCAATTATGTTGATAGTTTTCCTTATGTTAAACCATCCTCCATTTCTGTCATAAATCCTACTTGGTCACAGTGTACAATCTTTATAATATATTGTAATCTCCTAGCTAGTATTTTATTTAGTATTTTTGCATCTATATTCATTAATGAAATTGGTCTGTAGTTTTCTTTCTCTCTTTTTACTCTTCCTGATTTAGGTAACAGTACCATATTTGTTTTCTAAAAAGGAGTATGGTAGGACCCCTTCTTTACCTATTAGTCCACATAATTTACTTAATATTGGAATTAGTTGGTCTTTAAATGTTTGATAGAATTCATTTGTAAATGCAGTCCTCATGCTTTTTTGCTTTTTTTCATGGGAAACAGATAACTTGTCTTTTATTGTGTACATTTTGAAGTAATTTCCCAATTTCCGGTTTCACAGAAAACATTAAGTATACTCAGCTTAACATATATGTTGTAAACCTACTCTGCTCCCTAAATAAGACAAATCATTCCAACAATTTATCCAGGAGGTCACTGCATCTGACATCCTCCAAAGACATGCAGATGGATATGATAGACAGATTGCCCCCCATCTGCACCTTCATTGATGACCATTCAGTATCCTCTCTTCAGACCCAGGTCAGCTGCACATTTCTTGCCAACAATCATTAAGTGTCCAAGAAGATTTTCATCATCTTCTTCTGCAACAGATATCTGGGTAATGGGTTTCTTAGGTATCACCAGGAAATGAGCTGGGGCTTGTGGGGAAACATCATCGAAAGCAAGACACCAGTCATCCTCAAAAATGATTTTGGCCGGGATTTCCTTGCGAATTATTTTCCCAAAGATGGTGTCTCCCCTGGGCGGGGCAGTCTGTGCTTTGCTGATCTCATCTGCCATCGTGGCGGCTCCTGTAGCCGGCTCCTGCCACTGCCCGCTACAGCCTCCACAGCCTCACCCGGGTGCCTCTCATGCTTTTTTCTTAAGAAGCTTATTTATAGCCTATTCAAGTTCTTTTTCTTTTTCTAAAATACATTTATTTAGTAATTTTTTTCCTCTTCTGTTAATCAAGGCAGTTTATATTTTTGCAAATATTCTTCCATTTCACTTAAATTTTAAATTTATTGGTATATGATTAGGCAAAATAACTCCTTATAATTGCTTTGATTTCATCTTTTTATTTTTAATACCAGTGACTTGGTTTTCTTCTCTTTTTCTTAATCATATTAACCTATTGTTTATCTTCTTTTTTTCATAAAACCAACTCCTAGTTTTATTTATTAATTCAATGGTTTTCTTACACTTAGTTTTATTAATGTCACTTTTAATTTTTAGGATTTCCAGTAGTGTTTAGTTGAGGATTTTTAGTTTGTTACTTTTCCAGTTTTTTTTTTTAATTCTGTAGACAGTTCATTGGTCTGCTCGTTCTGTAATTTATTGATGTAGGCATTTAGAGATATAATTTTTCCTCTGATTACTGCTTTTGCTGTATCCCATATGTTGTCTCATTGTCATTCTTTCTAATGATTGTTTTTGTGATTTGTTCTTTAACCCACTCCTTTAAAATTAGATTGTTTAGTCTCCATTTGGTTTTTTGTTCTGTGTTTGCATGGTCTCTTATTAAATTTAATTTTTATGCTTTGTGATCTGAAAGGTATGCATTTAATATTTCTGCGTTTCTACATTTAACTATAAAATTTTTGTGCCCAGATATGTGGTCAGTCTTTGAAAGGTACCATGTACCACTGAGAAAAAGCTGTATTCATTTCTGTTCCCATTCAGTTATCTCCAGATATCTATCATATTTAACTTATCTAAGATTTTATTCATCTCCTTCTTTACCATTTTTTTCCCTTAGTTTTGTGTAATTCTGAGAGGGGAAAATTGAAGCCCCTCCAGATGACTTTTTGTGCTAATTTTGGGGATAGAAAATTTCATTTACTGTAGGTTTTTTCTTTGATATCTTGACCATTATTCAGTCTGATGCAGACTTCAGAAATTTGCTGGTTTAGGTATGGGCGAACTAGCCAGCCTCTATATTGATCTCTGAAGCCAGCCGCTTTCCTCTTTAAGCCACCTTTCATAAAGTTGTCAAAGTGACACTTCTAAAGCTCAGGTCTGACTATGTTACTCCTTGCCAAAAAGTGACAGCAGCTTCCTATTGATCCTAAGATAAAATACAAAAAGAAAAAATTGAGGAAAAGGCATTTCTGCCTGCTGAAGATGCAAATAAATATCCTTGAAGGGCAACCACATATTAAGCCATGAATGAGTTTCCTACATCCTTCTCACATGAGATAACACCTGAGAACAGATGTGGAAGAGGAGGAAAGTGAGCCAGGGCATAGCAACTCATTCCCAAAAATGAGTCAAAAGCAAGATGAGGAATATGGAGGAGTTCATTAAGAAGCTAGACATGTAGAAAGGTCACAGGAAAGTCACTTTGAGGATACAGGGAAGCTGCGTATACAGTAGGGATTAGCTACTAATTGGGGTTACTTTTGAGGAATTTGAAGATGTTTAGTACCAGTGGTGAAGCTGGTGATGCCCTGGTTATAGATACTAATATGACATTTGTGATTTTACAGTATTGTATGCCTGTAGAACATAAGTTAAATCCAAGTGGTTGGAAATAGTTTCTGTCCTAATAATATTTAATTTGGTCAGGTTAGGGGGATGAAAATTGTCATTTCAGTAAAGTATCTATTTATTCTCTTCAAGATAGATATCAATAGTCAGTGTTGACACTGTTATCCTACCTCTTTACTGACAGCCAATTTATATCACCTACAGGAATGTGAATTGGACCCTTGCTGTGAGTCAAGTACTTGTAAACTTAAATCAGGTGCTGAATGTGCATATGGTGACTGTTGTAAAAACTGTCGGGTAAGGAAGCTTTCTTGGTTGAAAAATAAAAATATCAATCCTTTACCTTCTGAAATATCTAGTAAAGAAGTACTTATTTTGTTGGGTGATTAGGGAAAATAGCTTTATTGGGTTCTAATGTGTTGTATGTTTGTGGCATTGAAGAAAATTCTACCACTGCAGATGCCGGTATATTTGATCAGTCATTCAACAAACATTCATTGAGTACCTAAAAACTGTGGTTCTAACTACTTTGAAGCCTCTTTTCAGCCACTTTTACTGCAGAGGTGAAAGGGAACACATAGTATAGAGTGACTGTTTTAGAGTGTTTTAATTTAATGAGTTGCTGTGATATGATAATTTATCGCTTAGTTCCCAGTCTATATGATATCTTTCATATACTGGCCTAGGCTGGTCTTTGGTAAGTAGACTCAGTCTTCCACCAGGACTGCACGTAAAATCTTTCCAACAAAGTAGATCTTCCCAGAATAGGCATTTCCCCCAGCATATCTAGGGTTACCTTTATGCCATGATGGAATGACTTTGTTGAGTTGTTGCATAAGATGTGTCAAACTTTGGTTTACTTACTAAAATTGAGCGAATATTCTTGTTTGATTTGAGTTTTGTTTCTTCAGTTCCTTCCAGGAGGTACTCTATGCCGACAAAGTACCAATGAGTGTGATCTCCCAGAGTATTGCAATGGCTCATCTCAGTTCTGTCAGCTAGATGTTTGTATTCAAAATGGACACCCATGCCACAACAATAAAGCTTATTGTTACAATGGCATGTGTCAATTTTATGATGCTCAGTGTCAAGTCATCTTTGACTCAAGTAAGACTTAACTAGAAAATATTTCAAGTAGTTTGATTTTTTAAAGATGTGTTTAATTTGTCAAGCTAAAATAGTTCTAATTTTAATTTTGTTAAAATTCTGTGGTGTGAAGATGTATAACTCTCATTTGCTTGTGCTTATGCAATTCTTCTGTTGAAGTGTTATCATCATATGCTCAGCTACCTAGGTTCTATAGTGATAAACTCCATGGGAATATGTATCTAGTTAGCAGTTCACGTGAGCCAAAAAATGCTCACTGCACTTCAGGAACTCACTAAACATCCAGTCTTGGTGTTCCTTTTACTAAGGTATTTTATGTAATGTAAGATTGTAGTGTTTGCTTTTATTTAAAAACGTTGGGTGTGTAAGACATGTGGCATCGTGGGTAAAGAGCCAGTCTTGGAGTCAGGAAGACATGGGTTTAAGTCCTCCCTCTGTCTCTCTTTTTACCCTTGGAAAGTCATTTATCTTCTCACTTTCCCAGTCAACTCTAAGACAAAGGCTCTTAACCTGGCATTGGCGCATAGATTTCAGGGGTTTGTGAACTTGGATGGGGGAAAAAAAATCACATCTTTGCTTAAATATAATTGATTTCCTTTGTTATTCCATGTATTTTGTTTTAAGTATTTAAAAACAGTTCTGAGGGGTCCATAGGTCTCACCACGCTGCTAGAAGGGTCCATGGTGCACAAAAAGTTGAGAACACCTGGTATAAGACTGTAAGTTACAGAACAATTTCTAGTCTTCATTGGCAGAAGGGTTTGCTCACTGGGAATCATCTATAGCAATGAATTCTACCAAATGCCAAATTGCAAGGCATAAATCTACAGAATAATTAGTTCCTCACATATACTTCATGCCAATGGCAAGTAGTTTAGCTACTGTTAGACGGGTAATATTGTCTTTTAGGATAATGAAGTCATAACAGTTAAGCTAGTCCTTTCCATTTTTCTCAAGTATGAGAAGGTCTCTTTAAAGTCTATTTAGACCTTGATGTGACTATTAATATCCATTGATTGAGTTATGAATTTGGTAACCATTTGAAATTAGTTTATATTTTATTACAGCAGCATCTACATAAATTTGGAAATGAGCAATACATATATATGTAAAGCATTATATATTCACTTTACAGAAGCTGTGTTTGCTTATTTATAGATCTGGATGTATATTCTTAATCTTGTAGTTACTCCATGGCCCACCAAGAATCCTGTACTCATTGGTTGGGAGACATTTGGTTGGGCTATCTCTGGTCACAGATAATTCCTCAGAGTCAAAGATAACACCAGGGTTTTCAACACAGAAGAATGAGTGGAATGGATAGTTAAAAAAAAAAAAGACAAATAGGTTAGAGAAGTCATGCTGCTGGCGGCCTTTGTGTTACAGTGGAAAGAGCATTCACTCTGGGATCAGAGGACCTGTGTTCAAATTCTGTTCTTACCTTTACTATAAATCATTTAACCTTCCTGGGACTCGTTTTCCTTATCTGTCCGATGAGAGGGTTGGGATGACAGTAATCTCTGAGGACCCTTCCAGTTCTAGAGCTGTGATTCTATAATCTATAAAATCCTTTTCTGTAAACATGAACATGTTTAAGAATAAAAGGGTACATATTAATTAAATACTATCTAGGTTTACATGTTAACTGTAAGACAGACTATTTGAAGCAAATTATAAAGAAATACTACTACTACTAAGCACAGACTGATATTATGTATTATTAAAGTTAATCCTGGTTTGTTAGTCTACTCTGGCTATTTTATGGGGTCAGAGACCTTCAGGTTGTGACCCTCAGGTTTTCCTAGCAACCTAGCTTTGACATAAAGCAGAAACTGTCAGAACTCATTACTGAATGTTCCGTCTAACTGTGCAGTTTGCAAACCATCCAGGCCTGCCTGTCTTGTGCAACTCTGATGTGTGTCCTAGAAGAATTTTGCCACAAAGGGTTCATCCAGAGTGCTAGAGGCCCTCTTCAGTTTTCCCTGACACCACAAGGGTACTAGTGGAATACTTTGTCCACTTGTCTTCTCTCCTCGTGTGACTGAATGGTCTACTTCTTTTGATTATATTACTTGATGACATGTTCTATTTCTGTTCTTTTTCGAAGTTTCTTACCTGTTACACGCTGTGATGGATTCATTTAAGGAAGTTCCCTTTGTTGCAAGTCCTACCTGGAAGATTATCTTGGTACTTTTTTGGTTTTTCTCCACGAAAAAAGAAAAATGAAATAAATTTTATTAAAACCCAAAATACAGTTTCTCCTTGGAAACCTTCTAGGTAAAATTTGCAACAAAATGAGTTCTTGTAGTTAGCCCTAATGTGCCTTTTCACCATACCACTGAAATCCTTTTTTTTTTCTTTCTTTTTTGGTCAGAAGAGCAAAGCTCTCACTTCTGGTTCTTCTGCTCTCTTTCTATTTTCACTTCTCTTTTGTGAAGATGAGTTCCTAGAGAACTTATGGCTGACATGTATGAAGCTCAGTTAATAAGATATGACACAGAAAAATAGGGGTTGGGCATGTTTTGACATGTCTGAACATTACTTTTTTGTAAATGCAATTTAAACTCTCTATCTTTGCTGGAATGGGCCATCCGTTTTGAGCTTTCCCAGCTAAGATCAAGGAGCTTTACTTATGCCCTCAGCATTTAGCGTGGAACTCTAGCTCTTGTCGTGGATTCTTATACTCTTCATTGATGAGAGTTCACTGTATCTTGGTGTGTCCCAAGATTCCTCGCAATGTACTGTAGCCATCTTCATGTCCTGCTGCCTTGAACATTACACCTCCTTTCCACCTCTTGCTCTGGGAACATTAAGTAAATCAATACTGCCATTCCTGGAAAGGATGTTTCAATCAATTGCCTTATGATTCTACTTAACATCTTTTTTTCTTTTTTAAAGAATTTTCCAAATCAAAACATCCTTTCCCAACCAGCATTTCTCCTCTATAGGTGTTATCTTCCTCTTGCCTTCTGTGTTTGAATCCCAAGTGCTTAGTAAGCACTTAATAAATGCTTTTTAATTATTCAGAGAGCTCTCTCTTCTCTACATCTCAAAACCTTTTGGGTTATGATCCCTTATTCTTTCTTCCTAAAAGAGGAGAAATACCTGAATCTGATGAAGAGATGGCCTTTCTTCTCACCAGTCATTTACTTATATCCTCAGTACTACCTACTCTTTCCTGTTTCTCTGGCAGATTGCCCCCACAATCATTCCCCCCACCCCTACTTAGTAATTTTAAATCTGTCCCTAATATCTTATTCCCTGCTGCCCACAAACTCCCAGGTTTTCCCCATCCTTAAAAAACAAATCAAAAATCCCTCATTCAATCTTACCATCTCATAAAGCAATGGTCCTATATTGCTTCTCCTTTTCACAGTCACTCTCCTAGAAAAAGATATATGCGCTCATTGCCTTTACTTTCTCTTCTCTTAATCCTTTGTAAATCTGGCTTGTGACTTTGTAAGTCAAGTGAAGTCACTAATGATCTCTTAATTGCCAAATCTCAGTTCTCATCCTTCTTGACTTCTCTGTAGCATTTGACATACTTGATCACTCTTTCCTCCTTGATACTTTTCTCTGAGTTTTTGTGGCACTCTCCTTTTGCTTCTCCTCTGTCCTGGATGACCAGTCCTCAGGCTTTTTTGCTGGACTATCATTTGTATTTTTCCCTCTAACTGGATATACCCTGGGGATGTCTGGGAACTTTGGATCTTCTTTTCTCTACACTTTCTCTCTTGGAAATCCCATTGGCTCTCATAAGTTCAGTAATCAACTGTGCAAGTGATTCCCATATCTAGGCAGCTAGGTGGTGCATTGGATAGAGTGTTGGGCCTGAAGTCAGGAAGACTCGTCTTTATGAGTTCAAATCTGACCTCAGACACTTACTAGCTGTGTAACCCTGAACAAACCCTGTTTGCCTTAGTTTTCTCATCTGTAAAATGAGCCAGAGAAAGAAATGGCTAGCTACTACAGTATCTTTGCCAAGAAAACCCGAAATGGAGTCACAGAGAGTCAGACACACCCATAGCTATATATTCAGCCTTTCTCTGTCTCCAGAGCTCCAATCCAGCATCATCTATGGAATATTTCAAACTGGATGCATCTCAAAAACACACCATGTCCAAAATCATTCATTATCTTTCCTCCCCCAAAACACTGCTATTCTAGACAATCCCTATTGGAGATGCTACCATCTTTTCAGGGACCTATGTTTATAACCTCAGTGTCTTCCTTGCTCCTTCATTCATACTCTCATTCTCTGCACACCACCTTTGTGCAGAAGCCATTCTGGGCATTAGGGGAATAACAAAAGATTAAATGAAATAGCAGGCCTTATTCTCATGAAGCACACATTTTGTACAAAATGTGAGACATAGCTCAAATTAATATCATGCAAAATGATTTATAAAGGTTTAAGAGAAGCACAAAGTGAGTACAATTTGGGACCTTAGGGAAGGGGCTGGTTATAAGGCACACCACTTTTGTAGAAGGCAATTGTGCAAGTTTAATTCAGTTTAACAAACATTTGCTAAATGTTTGTTATGCAAGGTACCATGATAATCTCTGCAAATATAAAAATGAAAATTGACAGTCCTTACACTTACGGAGGGCATCTAGGTGGCACGGTGGGTAGAGTGCTGAGCCTGGAGTCAGGAAGACTTATCTTCCTGACTTTAAATCCAGAATCAGACAGTTACTAGGTATGTGACCCTGGGCAAGTCACTTAATCCTGTTTGCCTTAGTTTCCTCATCTTTGAAATGAGCTGGAAAAGGAAGTGGTAAACCCTCTAGTATCTTTGCCAGGAAAACCCCAAATGTGCAGTCATGAAGATTTGGATGCGACTGAAAAACAACTGAACAGCACTTAAGTAATTAACAGTCAGATAAGGGAAGAACAAACCTATACACAAATTTAGTATGATACAAGCTACAATGGCATTTGGACAAAATACTTTTAAAAATTTTGAGGAGGGAAAGATACTTTAAGCTGGAGGAAATCAGGAAAGCCTTCATGGGGGAGAGAAAGAACTTTCAGTGAGGCTATGAAGGAAAAGAGGGACTTCAAAAAGTAGGAGTGTGGTGGTGCAATCACCAGATGTAGGGTTCTGTTCTGTTTTTTTTTTCCCATTAATTTATTTATTTTAAAAAATTAATTTATTTGGAATTATCAACAATCACTTCCATAAGCTTTTGAGTTTTAAATTTTTCTCCCCCTCCCTCCTCACCTTACTCCCCAAGATGGCATACAATCTGATATGGGCTATACATATCCATCCCTATTAAACATATTTTCATATTAGTGATGTTGCAATTAAGAATTAGAACCAATAGGGGGAACTACAAGAAAGAGGAAACAAAACACAGCAGAAGAAAAAAAATAGCAAATGGTATGCTTCGATTTGCATTCAAACTCCATAGTTCTTTCTCTGGATGTGGATAGCATTTTCTATCATGAGGCCTTTGGAGATGTCTTAGATCCTTGTGTACTGAGAAGGATTAAGTCTATCAATATTAGTCATTGCACAATGTGGCTGTTCCTGTGTTCAATGTTCTCATAGTTCTGCTCACTTCACTCAGCATCAGACCATACAAGTCTTTCCAGGTTTTTCTGAAGTCAGCCTCTTCATCATTTCTTATAGCACAACAGTATTCCATTACATTCATATACCACAACTTGTTCAGCCATTCCCCAATTGATGGGCATCCTCTCAATTTCCGATTCTTTGCCACCACAAAAAGAGTTGCTATCAGTATTTTTGTACATGTTAGTCCTTTTCCCATTTGTATGATCTCTTTGGGATATAGCCTTAGAAGTACTATTGCTGGGTCAAAGGGTATGCATATTTGTATAGCCCTTTGGGCATAGTTAAAATGGCTCTCCAAAATGGTTGGATCATTTCACAACTCCACCAACAATGCATTAGTATTCCAATTTTCCCACATCTTCTCCAACATTTATCATTTTCCTGTTTTACAACTTGGCCAATCTGATAGGTGTGATGTGGTACCTCAGAATTGTTTTGATTTGCATTTCTCTAATCAATAGTGATTTAGAGCATTTTTTCATATGACTATAGATGCCTTTAATTTCTTCATCTGAGAACTGCCTGTTCATCATATCTTTTGACCATTTATCAATTGGGGAATGACTTGTATTCTTATAAATTTGACTTAATTCTCTATATATTTTAGAAATGAGGCCCTTATCAGAGAGACTGGTTGTAAAAATTCTTTCCCAGTTTTCTACTTTCCTTCTATTCTTGGTTGCATTGGCTTTGTTTGTGCAAAAACTTTTCAGTTTAATGTAATGTTCTCTATCTCTTGTTTGGTCACGAATTCGTCTGTTCTCCATAGATCTGATAGTTAAACTATTCCTTGCTCCTCCAGTTTGCTTATAGTATCAGCCTTTATATCTAAATCACGAACCCATTTTGACTTTATTTTGATATATGGTGTGAGATTTTGATCTGTGCCTAGTTTCTGCCATACTCTTTTCCAGTTTTCCCAGCAGTTTTTCTCAGAGTGAGTTCTTATCCCAGAACCTGGAGTCTTTGGGTTTATCAAATAGTAGATTACTGTAGTCATTTACTACTGTGTTTTGTATGCCTAATCTATTCCACCGATCCACCACTCTGTTTCTTAGCCAGTACCAAGTAGTTTTCATGATTGCTGCTTTATAATACAATTTAAGATCTGGAACGGCTCTAACTATTCTTTAAAAGTTTGATAGAATTCTCCTGTGAATTCATCAGGACCAAGACTCTTCCCCCTTTGGTAGTTACTTTAGAACTAGATCCGTTTCCTTTTCTGAGATTGGGTTTTTTAAGATCTTTATCTTGTCTTATAATAGTTTGGATATTTTATGTTTTTGAAAGTATTCTCTATTTCTTTTGTGTTCTCAGTTTTGTTAGTAGCATATGTTCTAATGATAATTTTTAAAAATTTCTTCTGATTTTATTGTAGTTTTACCTTGTTCATTTGTGATTTTATTGATTGTGTTTTTTGGATCTCTTTTTAATCAGATGAGCTGTGGGTTTATTAATTTAATTAGTGTATTCAAAGAACTAACTTTTAGTTTTATTTATCATTTCTTTGGTTTTATTTCCAATTTATCTATTCCCCCTCCAATTGTCAACATCTTCTCTTTTGTGCTTATTTTAGGTTTGTTTATTTGTTGACTTTCTAATTTTTTAAATGCATATTTAGTTCACTAACCTTTTTTTTTAAATTATCTTGTTAATGTATGTTTGTAAGGATGTAAGTTTTCCCTTGAGTACTACTTTAGCTGCATCCCAGGAATTTTAGTATGTTGTTTCATCATTATTATTTTTACATAGTTATTGTTTTTCTGATTTGTTCTTTGATCCACTCATTATTTATAATATCATGGTTGTCTTCATTTTGGTCTATCTTGTTCATAGTTCCTGAGCCAAATACTATTTTTTATTGTTTTATGGTCTGTAAAGGATCTGCCTTTTTATATTTATTTACAATATCTCTGTACATGCTCAGTTTTTGGAAAAGTTTCATGTGGTGCTGAGAAATGTGTATTTTTTTCCCCATTCCCTTTATTAATTGGGGTGCTAAAGCATTTGGAATATATAAGTTTATTACTAATATTGGTTTGCTTTCTATGTTTCCTTTCAGCATAATATAATTTCCTTGTTTATCTCTTTTTAATTTTTGAATATTTATTTTTGCTTTGTCAGATAACATGATTGCAACTCCTGCTCCATATCCCATAAGTTTTATTTTGCATCTCTTTGTTTTTTAAATTTTTTGTTGTAAGCAACAGATTATACGGTTTTGTTTTATTATCAAATCTGTCACTTTTTCATTTTATTGGATTGTTTTATCCATTCACATTTAAAGTTATGAGATATTTTCTTTCATCTGTCTCTAATGTTGGATTTTTTTTTAAGTTATGATTTTCCCCCCACTTCTGCTACACAGTACTATGTTCCTGCAGTTACTTTACCTTAATCTTTTCTTTAAGGTGTCCTTCTTCCCCCTGGCTCTCTTCCCCTCACTCTTGATCCACTATTTATACTTGTTACCCTTTTCCCTTTAAGGGTTTGCTTATTAGTTCCTTTTTCTCTCCATTTCTTCTTTAATCCATAAACATTAATTGAGTTTTTATTATGCAGCGGGTATTCTGCTAAGCACTGAGGATCTAAATATAAAAGCTAAATTATTCCTCCCTTAAAGGAGCTTTTATTTTCTTGGAGAGCCTTACATTCTGGGAAAATGAATCCCGTTTAGGAGGTATTGAGTTTGAGCCTTGATATCAAAGTAGGATGCATTTGGCAGGCAGTTAGGAAATGGGGAAGTGAGGCACTTAGATTCCAGGGAAAGCTCATTTCTTGGTTAACACCACTTTTTTCTTGAATTTCAGAAGCAAAAGCTGCTCCAAAGGATTGTTTTATTGAAGTAAACTCTAAAGGAGACAGATTTGGCAACTGTGGTTACCATGGCAATGGATACAGAAAATGTTCCGCTGGGTAAGTAGAGGTGAAGAAATGATGGAATGTGGAAGATCTTAAAGCTCAAGATCATATGCCAGAAGAACCTTATTAAAAATGTGCTTTTAAAATTTTACTCCTCTGTCCACCCCACTCTACTGTCTGGCTTCTTAACTTTCTGTAACTGTATTTACAGATGATATCGGTCCTAAAAGAAATTTAAAACGGAATTGGCATATCCTTCCTTGCACATAGTAGAAGTCTGTAATTATAATTTTTGCTGAATTGATTGAAGTAACAATAAGCATCATGTTCACAGGGTATATGGCACTCAGAGAATAGAATATCTCCCTGTCTTCTGTCAGGTGGAAGTGACTTCATAGACCAGCTAGTCCAGCCAATAACTGAACAGGAATGCCCTTCAATAACATCTTAATAAGTAGTCATCCCACCTGAGTCTAAACGACCTCCCATTAGGGGGTTCTCACTAATGTCCTGAGGCAATACAAACCCCTTTTGGATAACTCTAATTATTAGATTTTCCATATCTAAATCTTTGGCTCTGCAATTTCCACTCACCTGTTGCTTGTGGTTCTTTTGGGGGGGGGGGAGGGCTTAGCAGAATAAGTGCAGTCCTTCTACTTGACAACTATTTGAAGACAGAGGTTATTTCCCAAGTAAGTCTTTTCCTTCTCAGGATACACATCACTATTGACCTCAACTGACTTTTCTAAAACACGATATTGAAAACTAAACTCAATTTCTCATCGCTTCTCTTTTGGAAAATGAAATGAGTAAAGATTTAATTAAGAAATCCTTGTAAACTCCCTTTGTAGTAGAGAGGAGGCAGTATGGTACAATGGAAAGAACCCCTTCCTGGCACTCGAGGAATTCAGTTCAAAGCCCAGCACAGGTTTATATTTATTGCACATGCAATCATGGGAAAGTCACTTAACATTTCTAGGCTTTAGTTTCCTCACATATAAAATGAAGGGGTTGGAATAGATAATTTCTGATCTACCTTCCAGTTCTGATTCTGTGATATCTTTTTGAAGTGTATAAAGAAATTATCTCTGATTTGAAGTCTTTGATTTTATCCAGATCAGGTTCTAAATCTTCTTACATAAGTGATTCTGCTTCTGTGAATCAGTATTATCTCAAATCTTCATCCAGCCTGTCCGCTACCCTAGATTTGTCCTGCCTTGCCTTACTTGTATCTGTGCCTCTTTCTTTCATGCTCATCTTTATTTGGCTACCATTGTAGTTGCCATCAGGTGTATTTTTAAAAAATTATTTATGAGCATTTTTCTCTCCCCCCTCAATAAATAAAATAAAGAGAAAACCCTCGTAACAAATATGCCTAATCAAACAAAGCACATTTTCTATCATTGACCATGTTGAAAAATGTCTGTTTACATTACGTATTCTGAGTCCATCACCTCTGTTTAATGAGCTTCATCTTAGGGCCTCCAGAGTCATCTTTTGTCGGGCAGCACAATGATCAAGTTCTGATGCCTTTCGAAGTTCTTTTTCTTTATCGTGTTGTTAGAGTGTAAATTTTTCTGGTTCTTCTCACTTCAGTGAGAATTTCCCCTGAAATTGTCTATGTAATCTTTCCTCATGGCACAGTAGTGTAGTATTCTATTGCATTCGTAGACCATAATTTGTTTAGCCTTTCCCCAGTAAATGGGCACCCCTTAGTTTCTTGTTTTTTGATAGTACAGAAAGAGATGCTATAAACATTTTTGTACATACAGGGTCCTTTTCCTTTTTTCTTTGATCCCTTTGGAGTATATTCCTAGTAGTCACATCACTGAATTTTTAAAAAATATGTACATCTTGCTGACTTTTATAATCAGTTCCAAGTTGCTTTCCAGAATGGCTAGACCAACTCACAGTTCAACTAACAGTGCTTTAGTGTGCCTGTTTTCCTACAGCCTCCAACATTTGTCATTTTGCTTTTTCCTCAATCTCCATCTGATGATGACATATCAAAGAAGGAGTTTTGTAGAAGAATTGGTACCCTATACAGGAGAAATATTAGGAGGGCCCAGCATTCTGAAAGTCTGTGCCAGTGGAATACAAGTTCTCCTACCAAGTTGGAAAGTTCTCAAGTGTAGGCGAATGATGGATTATATCTCATCTGATGACCAGCCTAGCTACATAGAGACATATATCACCAGATTGCTTCCAGGGTGATGCAGTTTTCATCAAAACCAATTTCAAAGACTTTGTAATAAGACTGCAACCCAGTGAAATTACTGGTCAGTCTGCCAAAGAGCTTTAATTTCTATAAAGAGCTGATTGAACTTAGATTCTGCTGAGCCAGTGGGTGAGCAATTAAGTGACTTCAGGTGTAGGAATCATAGTGATGCATGGACAGGGAGTTAATCTAGCCATTGCCTCTATAGTACTAATTCAGTACTCAAGATTTCTTCTTTTAGCTCCAGAGAACCCTAACACTACAGTTCAAAAAACTGGATTTCATTTATTTTATATATATATTTGTAAAGTGCTTAGCACAGTTTGGCTCATAGTAGATGCTTAATAAATGCTTGTTCCCTTCCCCCTTATTCCACATCATCAATATAATTTCTAAGGCAATTTGCTTAAATTTTTTGCTATATTGTAAAAACCGATGGAGGGCAGCTAGGTGGCACAGTGGATAGAGTACCAGGCCTGGAGTCAGGAAGACTAATTTTCCTGAGTTCAAATCTAGCCTCAGACGCAGACCCTGGGCAGGTCACTCCCCCCTGCTTGCTTCAGTTTTATCATCTATAAAATGAACTGGAGAAGGAAATGACAAACCACTCCACTATATTTGCCAAGAACACCCCAAATGTTGAGTGAAAAATTGAACACAACTGAAACATTTGAATATAAAAATGAGATAGAAATATCTGTCACCTTGTGGATCACTGGCCTGGGAATTACAAGACCTAGGTCTTTTTTTTTGGCTCAGCTACTAACTTACTGAGGTCACTTTGTCACTCTTAAAACCTTTAGGTCTCAAGTTCCTTATCTGCAAAATGAGCTTCTGAAATAGGCATTATCTGTGTTTTGCTATGATCCTCAGGAATTAAAACTTTTTGTTGGAATGGAATCTTATTATAGTAAGTAAATGTTTTTCCAACTCCATTTTTCTCTTCTTAGTAATTGTAGTAATAACAACAACAGTAATAATGATAGCTAGCATATAAAGTGCTTTAAGGTTTGCAAAGCGCTTTCTCTATGTTATTCGGTCCTTTAGCTGTCAGTATTTTTGACTATGGCGTGGCCACAGGATACATTGAGGCTGTCAGTTTATGATTGGTAACCAAAATACCCAACACTTGTGTCAGCCTCACACGTAGGCTTTTCAGAATCACACTCTCTTACACATTTGTGTTTCTGAGCACAGGCCAGCAGAGGCCACAGGTACTTTGGCCATCTATTCCTTTTCCCTTCTGTGGTGCAAGGACAATGTCAGAGAGAGTAGCAAATGCATGCTGCATCACTTTGGAGAAGGAAGGGATATCAGTAGTCACTTCCTAGTCCACTTCCTTCATTTTATAGTGATGAAACTGAAGGCCAGAAGGCTTATTTGTCTGATAGCAAGGATGTAATAAAAGATAAACAAATCAAGTTGACTTACTCTCTCTGACGTATATTCTGGAGTACTGTCTCTAGTTTATGAAACAACAGTTTAGAACCAGCAAGAAAGGTAGAGTGCCACAAAAATTTGCGAAATACTATAGCAAGTGAGAACAATGGTCTTGTCTAATAAACTCTATGACATCTATCCTGGGGAATGTTTTGTGGGAAAACTGGTTGGTAATTTCACTTGACTATCCCCGCAGAAGTTAGTGACATATCCTAACTTCCGAAACTTCCCTTAGTAATGAGCAGTGGTTCTACTCATGGATGTATATAAGTTCTTCTACCTATGTTTTTTCTGATTCTTCTCTATGAAGTATTTTTCCCCCCATTTTTAGTTTGTTTTGAGATTCTCACATGCAAACCTAGAGTTCTATAGATCCACAAATTCCTTAGAGGAGACCAAAAAGCCCCGGGGTGTATGTTGTGGGTACAATTCTTATGGATTTTTCCCTTCTCTAGAATTACCCAGAGGTCCTGGTTTTGACCTGAGTTCAGTGACTTGGTTCTCTTTCCAAGGTCACCCTGGAACTGATTAGAGAATCAGAACCTAAATCTGTGTGTTGGCAGTATTCAATAATAACCCGAGAAATATGCGAGGAAATAAAAATATTAAGTTTTATATGAATATAACAGAATGCGGAAATAAGGGAAAATAATTCATGCCAGCCCACAAGATTGTAGAACAGAAAAAGGAAGCAGTAGAATTGATAAATTGTAGGATTGCGTGACAGGCAACATCTGGATGTTGTTGAAAACAGAATGTCTTCAGGATAAGGAAGAGGACTTGCAGCAATATTATTTCAACTAGAGAACAATGTTTGCTGAAGAGAAGAAGCCAGAGTTGTTTGATCAAGGGTATAAATTAAGGCAATTAGGGGAAGTTTGTGGTCTGTCACAGGCTGTCTGCGTGCATGTATTCATGCCACTGCATACGACAATCAATAAACTTCTCATTAACATGAGATAGTTCTGCCTTCTAATTTTTGACACCCGACAATCGTGGTAACGAGGAGGAGATTCCTTCAGTGAATTGCGGGTGGACTGGAATCATCATGTAGAAAAGCAGCTGTTGCTAAAGCAGGTTGGGGCCAGCTAGGTGGGATGTCATAGTGCAGAGAGTCCCAGGCCCCCGAGTCAGGAAGACTTATTTTCCTGAGTTCAAATCTGGCCTCAGACACTTATCAGTTTCCTTATCTATAAAATGAGCTGAAGAAGGAAGTGACAAGCCACTCAGTATCTTCACCAAGAACACCCCAAATGGAGTCACAAAGAATTAGATATGACTGAAATGACTGGACAATAATTTGGTCCTGAAGTTTCTGTCTGAAGGTTCTTTACTGTTCTTCCTGTTCACCAGCCCCAGAAGAGGAATCTAAATGAGCTAAGTTCTGTTTAAGAGG